GATTGGAGAGTTGCCTACTACGTCTATATTTCTCTTACGCCTTTCTATGGGTTGCGGGCTGGCGTTTAGGGCGTTTGTAGACTCTCTCGTAGGTCTAGGGGTTTGGGTTGGGGTTGTCGGTTCGTTTTCCATATCGATATCTTCGTCGCCTGAATCGGGGATAGGCGAAGATAGTAGGATCCTCCTACGCGTAGGCTCCGAGGAATTCGGTTCTTCCTGGGGGTTTCCTAGGGTGTTATCCCCCATCTCGGGCCGGGTTCTCCTGGTGGTTCGTGCGTTGGAGAAAATCGAAAATCTAGAAAGGAGTCTGGGGAGGGTTTTTGCCTAGGGTTAGCGCTACAGCCAAGGCCTGCGGCCTGGTGCGAACTGATTTAGGGTATTTTTAGGCTGTGCTGATTCGATTGGTAGTGCTTTCGAGGCGTAGGGAGCGCTTATAGTGGCGTTCCCTTAGGTGTAAAAAAGGTTGTGTGATGAGGGGTTATGTAAAAACGGTGTTACAATATTAGTAAGTTTGTAGATTCATTCTCACTCGATATTTGTCTAACGAAACATAGTTATTAAGCAAGCGTTGGAGCTGATCTTAAGAGTATATATATCTATAGCCGTTTTGATACAAATTTAATGCAAAATTTTACTATAGGTAGACTCATAGACCATTCGCGCACTGTCTCGGACATAGAACGTAAGTTCGGTGATAATATTAAGTCTTTAAAAGGGACGCCCTTTGTTCTTGGTAAGGTTGGTGGTACTATTAGCAAAAGTGTTCATCCTAATCTCTACCGGAACCTGGGAACCGCACTGTGGACTGCCGACTTTATATTACACGCTATGACAAAAGGAGTCGAGCGCGTGTCGATGCAGCTTGGAATTAATTTCAAAATTTTAGCTTGGCAGCCAATCACCACCAATAGTGAACATCCAAAGGCTGTCCACGGCAACTACTATAGAATGGTCTTTACAGCGGACTTTATCGGTATCGAAAGAAACCTTAAAATTTCAAGCATTCCGACCAGCGGGCACCCCAACATTACTATGTATACCGGTTATAACAACGACAAGCTTAAGAAGATCGCGGTACTGAACCTAGAGCTATGGGATAGTGCGAGAGACAATTACAGAATTTTTCAAGAAATTGAGCTTACAGGGTTAGGCAGACTCGTAAAGAAGGTCAAGGTCTCGAGGCTTACCGCGCCTGATGGAGCTAGGGCCCGAACCGGGATTACATAGGCGGGAAAGCAATGGACTGCAGATACTAATGGGACGCAGGAGTTAGTTGGAGATGGACCGGCTATGTATAAAGTAAGAAACGGGCGTCCGGTTGACAAGATCTCTATTGGAGCCTCTGAAGCCTTGTTGATTGAGATGATTCTTAACTAGCTATGCTACTTATGTCGCATAATCACAACACGATCTTTGTAATCAAAATAATATCTGTCGCCCTGAATACAAATAAATCGTTTAGTAAGATGGTGAAGAATGTAAGCAGTTTCTATAGAGTACTCTTTATCTAGCTATATGTCGGGATCCTGAATAAAAGCGAAGAAATCTTAAAACATATTCGCCCGCAGCCTAACATCTCCGACGCTCTACTATCTAGTAAGATAGGGAAGGATACAAGCAGTCCCTATGGAATAATGTTTCTCTAGATTTATATTTAAGCTCCGGATAAAAGTAAGAGACCCTTTACGTTATATTTCATTCTTATTCTGTACAAGCATCGTTTTCTCATTAGGCTATAATAATAGCGGACGTTGATTTATATCATACGTGCCCACTGTAGTTAAACGAATGTTTTGATTTAGATATAAGACCACAAGGTAGGAAAAAATAACTAGGGCAGCAGAAACACCAATTCAACCGTTACTTAGCAGTGTAGCAGTAGCCTCCCTCTAACCCCTGCTTCTTGGCCGCCTTGAGAGTGAGACATTCAACATTGCCGCCACGCTTGCAAGAGTAAGAGTTGCCGCCCTTGCAGTTGTGAGCGCTCGCATATCCAAACCCTTTTGTCTTTGCACAACCTCCCTCGTTGATATTCTCTCTTCTGTTGGTACAGAACTTTGTGTCGCGGGGCAGGACAGTATCGTCAACGTCCGGCTTAGGAGAGTTTGGGGTGGAAGCCACAACGAACTCAGTAGCCAAAGTAGAAGCTACACTAGTGACGTCCGTCTCCGTCGATTCCCCACCACTCACGAAGATTTGGCCATTTGCTAGACTGAGAATTGCAAATGTAGCAAGCACCTGAGACAAATTCAGATACATCTTTGGTGATTGCGCCGGTTTCGACAAGCGAACAAGCTTTCTCGACGAATTGTTCGACTTCAGGGCCTGATCCTTCGAGCTGTTCAGTAGGGAATTAGTATTTAGTTCGGGACAGATAGACATTAAAGCATGCTTACATGGATGTAGGCAAAGTTTATGAGAGTCGGAGGGTCCGTTTGGTTGAGCCGTGTGTAAACGAACCAGTTGTTCCAGCCGTCGTGTTCGCCACGGAGCCAAATGTTCAGTTCGGTCCTAAGTTGTGTGTAGTGGCAGTCTGTCGTCTTGAGCTGGGTCAGTGACGCTCTTTATATATTTGAGTACAGCTCATGGCCTCATGGACAGCGGAAGCGCTAGAGAATCAAAAGCAATAAAATCGGAAGCAAGGGTGCTCCTCACATAGTGTGGATCATCAGTCCATTCGCCATACGGGACGGTTCCAAATGCTGCCATGGCTAGGTTTTGTTGCGGGGTTTGCTGGCTGCTGACGAGGAATTAAAGAGGTCTGTATAGTGGAATTCAGCTCAAGCGCACGGGTTAAGCGGAACAAATAAGCGCGCACAAAGCGGGGTCGATGAAGCTGCAAGGAAGAAAAGTAATGTGGTGCATGTTGGTGGTAGTGGCGATGGTGTTTGTTGTGCGTCCACAAGCATTTTCGTCGTCGTCAGCCTTAACCTCCCCCCTTCGTTATGTTGATCAGCAGTGTCAGAATCGGGAATCTCGTTTCCAGCTAGAAAACAAAAGGAGAAAGCTTTTCTCTTTTCATTTTCTAAATGCAGTTTTTGCTAAGCTCAATGAAGATAATCGGTGGGGTCATTGGTAGAATGCAGGTCTGCCGATCCTTCGTCAGGCTGAGCTCTCACTCAGCTCGGCCCTCCACTCAGGTTTCACCGCGGGTGAGACACAACATCAGATGACATATTTCTCACTCAGCTCTGAGCGGGGCTCGGCACACCGTGCCGTGCTTTCATACCCCTGGAGTGGCCAGCATCACATTTCGTATTCCGCAGCATCATTCAAGAAAAATTATTTCACCATGTGATCTATCCAGGCATTATCCCTGGCGCCAATGGAGCATTTCCTTGCTTCAGTTGCTAGCCAACCATAATGGCTGACATTTTGTGGTCTCTGGACGTGGCATTTGTTGGCCTTTACCGCTGAGCAACCCGGAGGTTTACTCCCCTTGGAACTTAATGTTTTTGCATTTTTGCATGCAGTCGAATGCTTTCAAATAGATTTGTCTTGGTCGTATCTTCCTCTTCCTGAGCAGTGAGTTTGCGCTGAATTGTCTTGTTGTCTCCGTTAGCTTTGCGTTACCCTCCGTTTACGATATCGTATAATGAGCGAATGATCGTTTAAATCAAAAATGAATCAGTGTCTATTATAAGATACCGAAGTACATTATGAAGAACACTTATTCCCTCCTCCTCATATCTTCGATTTTACGTGTGAAAGATCCTTCAAAACTTCATTCGCTCCCCGCTTGCCACTTCGGACAGCGCCTTCCATGTATCCTTTCCACTCGTCCGCCGTCTCCGTCCCAACAAAGTGGATATTTCCCACAGGCTCTCGCAGCTCATGTCCAACTGTGTCAAGCACACCCGGTGGTAGCGCTGGACAAGGGCAACCCCAACCAGAATACTGCTCGGTGGACCATTCGTGGCCCATGGCCTCTACAAATTCCCGAGTGGCTGTTCCTTGGTCCGCAAAAAGGGCGCCGATCTGCTTCAACAAGGCTTTCTCTTGCTGTTCAGAAGGAAGCTGAGACCATTCTCGGCCCGGTTCACCAGCCAAGAAGCAGGTAAGGACCCACTTCTTGTCTTGGGGGATGCTAGTATCGCGGATCACGGATGCCGGACCACAGAAAGACTGAGCCAGGCCACAGAAGCCTTTCTCAACCCAGAAGGGCGTCTTGAAGATCATCATGACTTTGGTGTAGTAGCCATAAGCGAACGAATCCGTCAAGACTGTTTTCGCCAGTGGCAACGGCGGTTCGAAGGTAATGGTTTTCAGGACTGGTGTGGGGACAGATACGATGACTTTTCGCGCATAAACTGTGTCTGTTGTAGTCTTGACCTTGATCCCACCGGAGACTTGATGGAAAGACTGGACCGGCGTTGAAAGTCGAATCGTGTCCTTTGGGAGTGATTTGGCCAGACCTTTGCTGAACATCTGCGTGCCTTGGCGACAGCGAAGGAATTGCGCCCCATGCTTCCTGTCAGATCGCATCTGGAGTAAGCCACCACCTGACTTGCAGTAATTCAAAAAGTACAGAGCAGAGATATCCGTGGGCTCATGTCCAAGCATGGCGCGAGTCCAAACAGTGGCGGTTGCAATAGCTGTATCGCTTGCGTTGTTCCGTCTCAAGTACGCATCAAATGTTAGGGAATCAAGATCTGAATCTTTTGGGCTGCGTGTGTCGACTTTTTGGCAGTCGGCTTCGACCATACCCCGGACTTCGGCTAGGTGATTTTTAGTGGTGGTATCGAACTTCAAGAACATCGGTTAGGCGTAAACACAATACACAAGGTTGCAAACTTACTCTTGGAAGTTCACCATAAGGAAAAGAACTGCAGGAACCATTAAAGTCCTGAAACGCGGCATTTCCGGTGGTGTTCTGCTCGATCAAGTCTATCTCAAACTTTCGAGCAAGAGCAATCATACAGCTCTGATTTGAATCATTGATCCAAGCTGCACCAAGGTCGATGATTGCGTCACCGTCACCGCTCTTACTGGGCTGGCTCCATGTTTTTCCGCCAACACGGTCACGGGCTTCCAGGACGCAACAAGTTCGTCCCGAATCAATGACTTGCTGGGCAGCCGTCAGGCCACTGAGGCCCGCTCCTACTACGACTACGTCGAACCAACTTTGAAAGCCAACGTCGAATAAAGGCGCTGCCAACGGTTGGGGCACTGGATCGCTGGGTGCTACTACAGCATCAATTTCGAACAACCACTCCGGCATAGCAAGCTGGACAACTGGCACCAACGTCATAGCAGGACGGTGGGATCCTAACAATTTTTGGATGTGTTTTGTGTGAAGGCGGCGTTTTGGGTCGTAGTTGACAATGTAGACGGTGAGTTTTGCGATGTCCGTCACACGAGCTCCGGCAGCAGCCAGCACTTTGCGCAGGTTGAGCAAGGCTAGATGGATTTGAGACTCGTAAGACGCTGGTGCTTTGCCGTTTGCCGTCGTCCCGACTTGACCGGAGATTTGGATTATACTTCCAGCTGTGGAAGCGACTGCTGGAGCATAGTAGGCCTTTGGCGTCCCGGGGATGTCGATACTCTTTGCGTGCAGTGTCATGGTGACGAAATTCAATGCAGGAAACGAGCTTGCCGTTGTCCGAGATGGATGCAATGACTGGGTAGATGGCCGAAAAATTGGCTAGACTCTGGGATGGTTATATCAACCGCGAACTGACCCTCGGCTGATAATCGATTATCTCCGTCTCTGTATCTCAGAGTATGTTTCACGGCGTGGAAGGTCGCCTCGCCGTCACATTCCTCTTTGGTTTTGAGGCGTGGTTGATTAGCGATAAGCGACGCGATAAGGTTGTCTCGTTTTGGTGGGGTAGTGGGGAGCCTCTTCGGGGCAAGTCATCCCAACCATCAAGATAGTGCGTCGGCATCTATTATCATCGTGATCTTTACGCTGGAATGCCCACTCACAGACCTATTATATAAGTGGATGTGTAGAATAGGGTAATTTGACCATACATATCAGTACACGAGCCGTCTTCCCCCCGACTTCCTCCTTGTATAGACCATACCAGTATCTCGCATGCCATGCCGTCCGCAATTCCGACCTTACACCGTGTTCCGTTTAATAAAACGGACAAAGTTATCTCGACTCTTGAGAGAGATGGAGCCATTATTCTAACGGATTTTACATCTCTGGACGCAGTCAATAAAGTCAACAGTGAAGTAAAACCCTACCTTGACAAAGACAAGCCGTGGAATGTTAGTTATATATTCCTTGCAACGTGAAAGCGGTCGTTGACAATCATTCTCAGGGCAAACTGTTCCCCCCTGAAACCCGACGCTGCACACGTCTCCTCGGAAGAAGCGATACCGCGAGAAGGGAGTGGCTTGCAGATGACCAGCTATATACAATCTTGAAACACTTCCTGTCAAAAACAACCCGCATCTTCTACGATTACGTCCCTACTTACCACACAACTTTGCCGATTCTTTCTACGGCAAGCACGATTGATGTCCGTCCCGGCGCCGCCAGCCAACGGTTGCATCGTGACGATAAAGTCCACCATGTCGACCACACTGACATGACGAAGACGGGGTATCAGAAAGGCGCAGATGTTAGCATCACCATTCTTATCCCCGGTGTCGAATCTACCGTTGAGAATGGAGCAACGCTGGTCAGTTAGATCTTTCACTTAAGAAATTTCCTCCAGTATCACTGATTTTTCCGTTGCAGGTCATTCCCGGATCTCACTTATGGGGAGACGAGCGGGCACCCTCGCGCGATGAAGCTCTCCGAGCTACTATGGTACCCAGTGAAGCACTGATGTTCTTGGGTTCGACCTATCACGCTGGAGGTGCGAATCAGACGAAGGACCAAAACAGGCCCATGCATGGTCTCTTCTTCTGTCGCGGCACGCACCGCGCCGAAGAGAATGTGTATCTGGAGTTTCCAGTAGACCAAGTCAAGGGGTGGACAGAAAAAGAGCAATCGCGCATAGGGTATCAGATCTCGTCGCCAAACCTGGGCTTCATTGATTTTGTTAGCCCCATGCATATTATCAACGGTACATATAATCCGGATCATCTTGTTGATTTGGATTAAGCGCTTTGTTTTTCTCTTGTAAGCGTACGGCTCGCGTTAGGCAGTAATTTTAGCATTTTCACTAAACCCACATCCTCTTTCCTTTATTATTATTACATGACACGGTGACTCGGTAAAATATTTAAGGAGGTACCTATGGATACAAGAATCTCAGCTTCTTTTCAAATGTTGTTTTAGTCATTCGTGCCAACTCTATTTCACATATACCGTATTAACTTGCCAGACTAATATTTAGCTAGCAGGGATATTTTTCCGGTCGTGTAGGTGAGGAAAGCAAGCCTTGGCAAGCTCTTACTTAGCCAGGCTAGTGACGGAAAACACCCCTACTAGCTAAATATCAGTCTGGCAAGTTAATACGGTACGTACATACGTACATACTTATTCCCGAGTCCGGCGACGGCTTTAATAATGTCTAAGGTAGTCGGGGTAACCTTCCCGAAATGAGACAAGCATTGGCGGCTTCCCCGCACCAGAGAGAAAATCGGGGTAACCAGACTAAGCCCAAAGTAAAGAAGTGCACAATCCTTAAGAATACGGAGTTTAGTCCCAGTGCGTAGTCTTGATATACAGCTTTAAGCTTCCTTTTCATTATTTCAAGCTTTGAGTTATATTATAGTTCTTGCCCCTTCAACCATGAAAAACTCAAAGGTCACATTAAAGGATCAGAGTCTTCTTGTACAGAAGTGCTTTATTGGTGGGAAATGGGTTGACGCGACATCCAAAAAGGCATTTGAAGTTCATGGTTTGTAAAGGTCCCCAAAATCTTTAACAATTTCATCTAAACAATTTTTGCAGACCCAGCGACAGGCGAGCTTATCGGAAATTGTCCCGAAACAGCAGCAGAAGACGCTCAGCATGCCATCCAAGCAGCCTCCGATACTTTCAACGAATGGCGCTCCAAGTCTGGCCGCGAGCGATCGAGGATTCTCCGTCGCTGGTATGAATTGGTGATGGAGAACAAGGACGACCTTGCTACCATCATCACCTGGGAAAACGGAAAGGCGAAACCAGACGCTGCCGGTGAAGTCGTGTTCAGTGCAAGTTTCATCGAATGGTTCGCTGAGGAAGCGGCGAGAATCTATGGGGAGGTGGTGCCTCACAGCACTTCTGGAAGCAGGGTGCATGTGACTAAAGAACCTGTCGGTGTTTGTGGGTTGATTACGCCGTAAGTTTCTGACCTCAGCTGTTTTGATTTCAGTGTAAGACTAATCGCTCGCCTTCTCATAATGCAGTTGGAATTTCCCTATCGGTATGCTCGCGCGCAAAGCCGCCGCCGCTCTGGCTGCAGGATGCACATGCATTATCAAAACTGCCGGTGAAACTCCCTTCAGTGCCAATGCTCTGGTGCTACTCGCGTCACGAGCCGGTTTGTCCCCTGGAGCCCTAAACGTCGTAACTGCTCTGGAAAATACCCCAGAGATAGGCTCCACGTTGTGTGAATCCCCTATCGTCCGCAAGGTCTCATTCACCGGCTCTGTGCGAGTGGGCAGGCTTCTGATGAAGCGAAGCAGCCAAACACTGAAAAAGCTCAGCTTGGAGCTCGGAGGCAACGCACCTTTTATTGTACTTGATGATGCAGATTTGGACTGGGCTGTTACTGGGCTCATCGCATCCAAGTTCAAGTGTTCTGGTCAGACTTGCGTTTGTACCAACAGAATATTCGTACAGAGCGGGATCTATGACAGCTTCGTCGCGAAAGCTGTCGAGGCAATTAAGCAACTACGGGTGGGCTCTGGCTTTGAGGATGGAGTCACTCAGGGACCATTGGTTCATTCGCGCGCGGTCTCGAATATGACGAATCTCGTCGAAGATGCGATCTCAAAAGGCGCAAAAGTCGTCCTTGGTGGAAAGCCAATGTCTGAACTCGGTAGGTTAATTTTACTTGCATCTCGGCTCCGAATCGCTTCTACCTACTAAATTTCTGGATAGGCACAAACTTTTTCGAGCCGACTGTGATTACAGGTATGACTTCTGATATGAAGATGGCTCAGGAGGAGATCTTCGGCCCGATCGCAGCAATATCCAGATTCGATACTGAAGAAGAGGTCATTGCGTTGTCGAATGATAGCGAGGTGGGCCTGGCTGCATACGTTTTTACCGAAAACTTGCGACGCTCACAGTACATGATTGAGAGTTTGCATGTGGGTATGGTTGGATTGAACACTGGCGTCATTTCGGATGCTTCTTCACCGTAAGTATCCACAAAATCTACTTAAAAGGTAGTCAACTAACACTGCTGGTAGATTCGGTGGCGTCAAACTGTCGGGGCTCGGGAGGGAAGGAAGTAAGCACGGCATTGACGAGTATCTGGATATGAAGACTGTGGTTACTGGACGAGCTGCGAGCGTTTTCCGGTCAAGTCTTTAATCACTAAGATGGTCAACAGCCCGTCTCTACTAGAGTATTATGTTCTGCAAGTCTTGGTTGCTTAGGATTGTTATCTTAAAATCACAAAGTCGAAATCAGTCAGCGAAATTCACTGTCGAATGAGATAAGTGTGCTTGTACGTCATTCGTAGGTAGCCTATCGTACCAATATAAAAATTCAGACTAGTGGGAGGATTCGCCTATTGTCCAGTCACTCATCGGTTTCTTCCTATCTAATTTTTGTAGGTAAGTGTCTCCGACCTGTTCCACGTCGGCGATAGGACAAGAAAATCACACAAGAATTACCCGGAAAATAGCATCATGGGATCCCCAGGATATTTCCATAATCAGCGGTAAGAGCAGTTCCTGCGCGTACTACAGGTAGCGTAAGTCTTCCCTTATACTACTTTTGACCATCTGGACAAAGCTTCCCTACAGTTTATACGATTGTCCTGCAAGAGTTGCGATGTATACTTGACTCGGAACAGTGTTGAATTTCACCCACAATTTGAATAGCAACATAGTTTGGACAAGGTACAGCTGTAACTCATAGCAAAGCAAGACCTTTGGGGGGGAGTTAGACTTGAATAACTAAAATAAACTCTAGGAAACCTATTCACAGCCGTCATGACGATGATAAAATAGACAGTATAGACCGCATTTGAAGCATGCCGACAGCAAGACTTCCACCAATGTAAAAGACCAAAAGGAGATAGAAAAACATCTTCGCCGCTGTAGGTATATTTCGACGGGGTGCTTTCATCTCGCCGCTAGTGATAACCAGAAGCTCAGGCGCAAAATTAAATGAGAAGACTAAGAAGACAGAAACAGCCGGCGTCGCTGTCGGCCCGTCGACGAGATAAGTCTTTGGTTGTTCCTTCCAATAGTGAAAACCCAAGCGTTGATGAGAAGGGCCTCCGCCCCAGAAAAGAATAAAAGACAGGATGAGAAAGCCGACAATCATAAACACCTTAAGCGATGCAAACCAAAATTCCGTTTCTCCATACACACTGACGGAAAAAAAGTTGAGACCGACAATCACGATGAACATGGTCGTGATCCACACACCGATCGGCACTTCATTGGGCTAATAGTTTATAACTAAACCCGCCGCAGTGATTTCGTATGGAACCCCCTATGGCGAATGAATACCAATAGAGCCAGCCCATAGCGAACCCAAGGCTTGGTGACACGAAGCGGGATGCATAGGCAGACATGGTGCTTCCGGCGAGCGGCATATACGCGCTGATCTCCGTGGTAGCCGTGAGAATTCCGTAAACGGGAATGGTAATGACAATGTAGGCCAGGAATAGGAAAACCAGTCCTCCGACGGACAATGCAAGGCCAGTACCGACAAAGAGACTGGTACCGATCGTGCCGCCGATTGCTATCATTTGAGTATGGCGCGATTTCAGGCCACGCTTTGTGGTCCCAGCATGCCTTCTCTGGACATGACCGGAGCCATTTTCGACGTCGCACAGTGTTGTTGAAGTACGCGGCTGCATCTTAATGGTGGTTTCTTTCTCTTTAGAATTAGAAATGTGGAGCTCTGTATCCGTACTTATTTTTTCGGTCGTGGGACAGGAGATGGGATGCTGCTATTCCTGGTCAGAGAAACAGGACGTTTGAAATTGAAATAGAACAGCTTTAAACATTCGATTCTGCTCCGCATCCCTATTATTGGTCATTGGTGCGCGGTGCGGGTGAAGCTGACCATCCTTTTTATTATCCTGCCCAAGCCCTTTAAATTCTACCCAATTAGGCTTCTCTACGTGCTGCAATATACCCTATGAACACTTTACGCCACATGCATCTATAACACCACTAACATGCTGCTAAGGCCCGAGGGATGCGCAAATGTGCTCGGTGGGTACCTAATGTAAAGTGTCGCGGAGATACACCCGCGAGCAGTTGGGCAGGCTTGTGTTCTTAACAGGTAGTTAGCCTGCTAATAGGGTCGTGGTGTCCACATTTTGGGTAGGATGTACTGTACCTGCCATGTATGCTTTAGGTGATCATAATTAGCGACGATCCTGAAGTTGGGAGAGTCTAACGTCCGTTACCGAGAACCGAGATCCACCGTCTAGCGAGACAGGGGATAATACAAGCAGTCCCTATAGAGTACTCCTTGTCGAGCTCATATCCTGAGTCCTGGGTATGGATGTAAAGGTCTTGAAGCACATACAGACTTTATACATCGTAGCTAGGTCTCTTCTTCTCCTCTGTACAAGTAGCACTATCTCGCTTCCCGGTGAATCTCGTTTCACGGTAACGGACGTTAGGTAGCTATATAAAGTGAGAAGATGACGGGTATAAAAATACTTAAGAAGATACGAAAATAAAAAGTCATAAGTGTATGAGAGGATTTAGATACCTTCGTGCCTCGTATACCCTTGCAGGCATGCATCACGTAGGCGAGTAAAATATCTAGAAGGGACGGTGGGCAAAATAATCCGGTGTCTTATAGCAATCGGCCTGCTGGGTAACATCGCGAAGCTTCGCCACGCTACGTATGGGCAAAATCCCCACATTCGAACTTTCTGCCCAGTACTGCCCATTGGGTAGAGTCATGAAAGCTTGATTGGGACAAAGAAAAGGGTGGTCAGACTAATGCGCCGCGCCTTGACGTAGGCACCCGAACCGGTGGAGCTTTGAATTGCCCGGGAAAACCTTCTGTATTTAGTGCGGAGGTGGCGGCGCAGCGTTACCTATCAAGATAAGGTCAGGACTAACTTGCCGCCTACGCTTTGTAATGCCGGTTTGTCTCACTTACATATTCTGATGCCACCCGACAGGCCCCACGACCTTCTCCCCTAATCCCGCGCTTTCTCAAACACCAATCCCAGAGAATGGCACCAACTTCTGCAACAGCTGTCATTGCTACCCAGAACGGAGAGCGCAAAGATTCCGACAATGGAAAATCCACGACTTCATCGGCGACGCACTCCAAGGCCGCCATTGAAGCCATTTCGCAGGGTGTGACTTTGCCGGGAATCCCAACCTTCACCAGCCTCGACAAAAAGCGCCGTTGGATGCTCGAACATATGGCGGGTGCCTTCCGCGTTTTCGCCCGCAAAGGATTCACCGAAGGCATGAGCGGTCACATCTCTCTTCGCGACCCGGAGCATCCCGACTGTTTCTGGACAAACCCGTATGTCCATGCTTTCTCTGCAAGTCTTTCTAACTCTTTGTTCCGTGCTGACCCAATATCATTTGTGAACCAAAGACTTGGTATCCATTTCGGCCTCATGACCGCCTCAGACCTGATCCTCCTCGACCACACCGGAAAACCTGTAGGCGGCAACATGTCCCGCCCTGCGAACGCAGCAGGCTTCCAAATCCACAGTGTCATTCATCGCAAGTATCCCCATGTCAATGCCGCCTGTCATACACACTCGGTAAACGGGAAATCATGGTCTACGTTTGCACGGCCCTTGGATATGATCAACCAAGACGTCACCATGTTTTACGGCAAGGCGCAAAGAGTGTACGGAGAGTTCGGAGGTGTCGTGCTGGAAGAGGAAGAGGGCGAGCGGCTGGGCGGGACGCTTGGAAATGAGGGGAAACTGCTGATCCTACGGAACCACGGACTTTTGACTGTCGGTGAGACGGTCGATGAGGCAGCATATCTCTTTACGCTTGCTGAAAAGAGCTGCGAAATCCAACTCAAGGCTGATGCGGCGGCGGCATCGGGGATTCCAAAGGTGCTTATCGATGACAAGGCAGCGGAATACACATTCAAAATGACCAGTGATCCAGTAAGTCTCCAAAATCCTTTGATGCTGTCTACATGGATGCTTATCGTCATTTCAGGAAGCGTTGTACTGCGAATTCCAGAACGACTACGAGTATGAGAAAGCCATTTCCGGAGGGGACTTCCTCCGTTAAAATGCTCGGCTTTTGACGAGCATTCGAAACCGCAGTGTAAAGTCGTTCATTACTGGAATATCGCTTCCAGATTCGTTCAGCTACACAATATGGTCAAATGTTGTTCTCGCATTAACGTTGGCCAACTGATGTTGTTGTCGCCTCCTTGGACCCTCTTCGTCCAGACGCCTTCTGCAATCTTTTTGGCCGTACCGAAAACGGGCAGTCCACTCGCTGTTGCAGAGCTCTTGAACCACAATGAGAATTTCTCCTGGAGTTGTGTGCTGAGAGCTTCGCAGCCGGCAATAAATCCAGGCCAGACAGTACCAGCTGTATAACCTCCTGTTGCTTGGTCTTCCTCTTCAATCTTTTTGAGATGATAAATTGTCTGTTCGGCATATTGTTGGAGAATCATCGGGTTCACATCGTACACCCGCCGGTAAAAGAATATAATGAGTGCTTGGTGCAGGGAAAGAAGCAAGTGGTGTACGACACGGCGATTTGAGTCGAGCAAGCTAGGATCAACCGTAGCATCGTAACCTTCTGGATAACCACAAGCTGGTGGCGCCCATTCAAAAATGTGCTTCTCGACTGCTTTCACACACTGAAACAGAGTGTTTACGCTCGTGGCAGGATAGTCATCCGGGTGAGCCTCCATCGCCTCCCGTTCATTGCCGAGCCGTGTCGCTTGCGAGAGAAGAAACAAGAATGTTTCCGGAATACCATATATGTGCGGATACATGGTTAGATCCCACTTTCCTGGGAGTTCAAGGTGCATGTCGTTTTGTCCAAGTTCTGGGTTTTTGTCTTCCAGCATTCGCTGTTCTTCGTTGAAGCCCCAGTCCGAGAATCGAAAGACGGTACTAGGTTGGAATTGCCTGATCTCATCCCTCATCCTGGCCTCATTACGTATCGCTCTAGTAGTGCCTGCGGATACCGAGGTGCTTTCGAAGAAAAGTCGTGTGTACCCATAGTAGTGGTGGAGAAGCCTTGTTTTTCTGGACTTTTTGGGCTTCTGTACACCTTTGAAACATACCAATCGTTCAGCGTCCAAAAGATAAGATCGCGTGCTTTCGATGTCCCCGACCAGAATCTAGATTGTAATATTAGTACGTTGAAACACATTGAGGAATTCGCAGTCGAAATGTAAGTTGGTTCTTCAGCTGAGCAAAATTCACTAAACAAACAACGTACCGAAAGTGTCACCATTGACAACATTGCCATCAACACTTCTTTGTACTTCGCCCTCTTGGGTTCCGATACCTCATGCCTCAACGAAAGCTTCAAGAATTCGTGCGCTCGTCTTTTGTAAAGGTCGCCTACGCCCTTCCAGTAAGTCACTGCGTCTCCAGAAGATGCATTGGTGAAGTTGAAGGCACTGATGGCCAGCAACCCATTGAAAACGGCATTCCTTGCGTTGTTAGGATGGTTACCTAGTGTTAGCTCTGCAAATGTGTTCATTGCGCAGGGCAACTGCAGGACGTTCCAAGGCGTTTTGCGATGATATTTGAGGGGGGATAGCAGCTTTATAATGTGGTCTTTGTAGTGCATGAGAAGAAAGCCTGCATCTTGAGGCACTAAGCGCTCAGAGAGAGTAGTCAAGGGAAGCGAGGGAGGAATGGGCGACGGTAACAAGCCGTGATGCGCTTGTTCAGCCATGGAATGATTTGGAATATCAAGGAGACCGGCAGATGGTAGCAAGCCATCGTCCGCTTGGCCAACCGCATGCAGGTCGGTAAAAAGAGACGCAGTGTCAGGAAAGGCTTCATTGAAGTCTGAGTCCATCAATTCCAGTAAGTCCAGGGTGGTGTCACCTCCCAAGGCCATTTCCAGAAGATGATCTGGTGAATTCGAAGTGCCCTCTGCAGTTTCTAGTTGGAGAGGCCGCGGGGAATCAGTTCCGGGCGGGCTTATGTACTCCGAAAACTCGACTTCTGGCACTTGAACCTGCTTTGGCGTTGTGGGAGCCTGAGCTAGCTTTAAGACTGAGAACGGTCCGTGGGCAATAGAGAGCTCATCCTCGTGCAAGTACTGCCAGCGTTGAGACTGCTCGTCCAAGCTTGTCAAGGCCTTACTCGCCGGGGTGCGACCCATGCTCGCCCGCATGTAGTCGCTCATCTCCTGTCGCTCCATTTCTGCAGAGACGATGCTTTCAGCACTGGGAAGCCTCGAAGTCGTGTATTCGATGACATACCCGTGAAAAGCGGCCGGCGGAAGCGCGTGTCATCTAGCCTGTCGGCGACGACGCCGTTTGTCATACCGTCGAACAGGAATTGCACGCGCGACTGATATCCTCGGCATACCAGATGACTTCGTTGACACATGTCACATGCCGGACGCTTCTCATCGCATTTTACGTGGCGAGTGCGGCAAGTGTCGCATCCATTGAGAGATCGATTGCGGGGTAGGGCGCTCATGCTTCCGCCCTACGAGCAGTGGTGAAACGCGGGGACGGCGAGATGATCAGGAAAGCGGAAGAGATGGAGCAGATGGGTGAGAACAAATCATCGCCGCTGCATTTCAGGAAGGTTATATCGTGGATGACGTGCAAGGGTGGGGTTCGTCAGTCTTACCAAAGAAGAAAGTCTTTCCGGCTGAGGGGCCCCGCGCTGATAAGCCGAGAACGCTAGTGCTAAAAGGGAAAGGCTCCATATTTTGGTCTTTAGCTACTATCAACTGCTATCTATTCTTATAAGAGCCGCTTCAAAGAGTTTCCGAGCGCCCTTAGCTCTACTAATTCCATCTCACAATCACTACAGTTCTGTTCAACATGGTAGCCGACAAGACAAATGTACTTCTCGTGGGCAGCGGCGGAATTGGAACCATCGCAGCATTGAATCTACAGCGGGGAAACCAAGCGTCTGTGACCTGTGTGTTGCGATCGAATTTCGCAGAAGTGAAAGAGAACGGGTTTAAAATTGAATCCATCGATTGGGGCTCTATCGAATCATTTCGACCAGATCAGAGTATGCTTCTTCACTGAACCCTTCTACCACGAACAACATGCAAACCTTTCATCGCCTTGAATATACAGCTAACCATTACTCTCAAGTCCTCAATTCTATCCCCGACGTCTCTTCTGGAAGTCAAAAGCCATTCCGCTACATAGTCTGCACCACCAAAAACATTGCAGACGTCTCACCCACTCTCGCCGAGCTCATCAAACCCGCCGTAACGCCCGGATACACCGTGATAGTGCTCGTCCAAAACGGACTAAACATCGAACGCCCCATCATCGAAGCCTACCCCGAAAACATCGTCCTCTCCGGCGTCAGTCTCTGCGGCTCCCACGAAACGGCATACGGCCACATCATCCACGAAGACTCGGACGAGCTGTACATCGGCCCATTCCGGAACCCTTCACTCGACCCCACCACAGAAGACGACGCGGCCAAGAACTTTATCCAAATCTACTCTGCGTCCGGGAAGACGCAGTGCGAGTACGCGCCCAACGTCGGGTGGACGCGCTGGCGGAAGCTGCTCTACAACGCGTGCCTGAATCCCGTATGCGCGATAACCGACCTCGACACCGGCCGTGCCAGGCTCGCGCCCGGGACGATTGAGGATCTCGTGAGGCCGGCGATGGAGGAGATACGGGCGGGAGCCAAGGCTGTCGGACATGATCTCCCAGCCGAACTTGTGGACTTTTTCATCAACCTCGATCCGATCCCGATGTACAACCCGCCGAGCATGCAGGTTGACGTGCGAAAGGTACGTGCTATTTATGCAGGAATGGCCGTGTGAGAGAGCTTGAGACTGACTTGCAGAACCAGGGCCGCTTCACTGAGTTCGAGAACATTTTGGGGGAGCCTTTGAAGGAAGGCGCTGCGCATGGCGTGCCGATGCCGACGCTGAAATTCCTGTATTCCGTTTGCAGATCGCTGCAGTGGCGGACGAAAGAGAAAAATGGCTTGGTTACTGTGCCGCCGGCGGAAGACTTTACCAAGCCTACTAAATAATTACGGAAGATTAGGTTCCTAGAAAGAAAGAGGTTTAATGAGTTGACTTCTTCCAGGTTCTGGCACACAAGTTCCACTTTTGTTGCGGATAGAATGTGTTGTTCCTTTGAAGTGGGCATAGAGCTTACAAACACAGACATAAATTCGAAATTGTTCCACTACATACAGACCTTTGACAAACAAGTGCTTTGTCCTTTGAAATTCGGAGATTCATCCCATGACAACAGCAGAAGACTCAGAAACGGCTGAATGCACAAACAAGGCAAGCAAAGAAGTGGAGGTAACGGTAATCTTCCTGCATCAACTCCATGGACCAAATCAGAGCTGACAAATTAGAGCTGACAAATTGACAAGAACTACGTATGACGTACAATAATTGCCTTTTCGGAGATGCAGAGCCCGCATTTTTGGAGGTTTCTGCCGCCACGGATAACATCGTATGGACGAATTATTCAGCGAGCTTGTTGACTTATAAACGGACGCCATCAGTACGTCCAGCAGCAGCGCCTTCCATTCATTGTTAATTAACAAACGGACAACCTCAATACTTCCTGCAGCAGCATCTACCATTCACCACAGCAACAATGTCAAACCGACCTCTTATCGCCGTCGTAACCGGCGCTGTAAGTCTCCAACCCCAATCCCACATCTATCTAACGAACCAGCTAACCAAGACCGCAGAACCGAGGCATCGGGCGCGCGATCTGCAGCGCACTCATGCGCAACCCGCCGGCGCCCATGGTTTTGTACGCAGCATCCCGCGCAGGGACAGCTCCGGACGTCGACATCCCGACAAAAGACAGCAGCAACAGCAGCATTGACGTCCGCCCCGTGAAGCTCTCCCTCAGCGACGCTGCGAGCATCGCCGCGCTCAGCGCCGCCATCCGCCGCGACCACGGCAGATGCGACGTGCTGATCAACAACGCGGGCGTCTTCTACTTCCGGAAAGACATCAGCGCGGCCGAGCGCAAGGAGACGCTCGATGTCAACTTTCGCGGGACGATGAAGGTACGTTCTACGTCGCACTTACACACTGACGTCCTGAATGCTGACTGCAGCGCTTAGCTATGCGAGGCCTTCATCCCGCTCATGCCGCCAGCCGGACGCATCGTCAACGTGTCCTCCCAAGCCGGGCAAATGAAGCACTTCCACGCGCGCCTGCACGCGCGCTTCCTAGCGCCCGACCTCACGCTCAGCGGGCTGAACGAGCTAGTGCAAGAATACGACGTATGTCAACCTTTTCCACCCCCCTCCCCCCACCGAAACACCCTCTTCACCCACTTACTTCACATCCCGCTAACCACAGCCCACCACGACAGCAAGCGGCAGCGCGCGGCGACGCCCTCGAGCACGGCTGGCCCGCAATGGCGTACTTTGCGAGCAAAGCGGCGGTGAACGCGGGGACGCGCATCCTCGCGCGCGAGCACCCGCACCTGCTGGTCAACTGCTGCTGTCCCGGGTGGGTGGCGACGGGGATGGGGGAGCAGGCGGGGGTGCCGCCCAAGACGGCGGACGAGGGCGCGCGGATACCGCTGCGGTTGGGGTTTGGCGACGTTGGGGGCGTGAGTGGGCGGTATTGGGCGAATGAGTCTGTGGGCGGGAAGGGGGAGGGGAGCGTGCTGGAGTGGTAGAGGTAGGTGGGCGAGGCTGGCTGTGTAGGTCGTGCCTGAGATGGAGGATGGAGGGGTTGGAAGAGACGTGTTGTTGTTGCGCCTATAAGGTTTATTAAGCAAATTGGAGTTATTCCTTTTCTCTCCCCACCAATCAAACGCATCAGTGGAAGATCCGCGCGATAGATCAAAAGCCCCCATTCTATATAAGCAGCCCAAGACCAAGACCCGGCCATCTAAACTCCGCAAAGCGTTGCCAACATCGGACATAGCGCCCTAACTCCGTCTTGTCCGCAGCGGCACAGCAGGGCAGCAGCTGCAACAACAAGCACACGCCTTAGCCGGCCGGACATAGGACATAACGCTTCCTTAACGCCGCCTTACGTTCGACGGATCGGCAGCAGATATACGATGGCGGGGGCAGCCAAGGCTTGGAAAGGCTTGAGTTGGAGGGTGGATCTAAATCGGACTGCCCGGACGTAAGCGGGAGCAGGGGCTGCTTTTCGCCGCAACGACGGACGCGGCAGGGCATTGTGGGTACTAGTATGAGCGGATGGGGTCTGGCTCAGGTATGCCGTGTCGTGCGCGCTGTCAGTTAGGTAGTCGAAGGCTTATAGCGCCGTCCCCGCTGACAACCCTCGTGCGCAAACCCACTCATATCCGCCGTCCTCCGGCGACTTTCTGTACAGTTCGAAAACCCGTCCCGGGCACCTAGACGGTACAGTAGATATCCCCAGACGGTAGTTCTAGCAAGGTGAGCGTTCGTCTAGCGCGGCGCGATTATTGCTTACCAGAAAGAGGGCGAGCAGCTTCGACTAGGCGGGACGGACAGGGAATTCTCCGCACGAGACGGCGGGCACCGTCCGTCGTCTCTTAACATCCCTAGAAGGCGATGCTGCTGCTGCTGCTGCGCCTGTTTATACAGCCACTGCAGCCATCTCTTCTTTCCTTCTGTTTATTGTTCGTCCTTTATTCTCTTATTTCTTCTTTCCAGTCCCGTCTCTACCTTTTTCCTCACAACAGTCGAGTCGTTTTGCACAGGCGAGGCAAGAAGCGTGCGTTTGTGCCCGTGGGTATTCCATCCACAGCAGCGCCGCCCGCGTTCATATATATGCAAGCAAGCAAGCAAGCAAGCAAGCCGCAGCCGGGCTCATCCATTCGTTCGTTCGTTCGGGCGTGCGTGCGTGCGAGAGCGCCGTGCTCCATCACAGCGACAAGGGGCAAAACCAGCCGCCCAGAGGCAAGGTCATCGAGGACGAGGATCGAGAGAAGCCACAGCGGAACGAGCGTAAAACGACGACAGTCGTCTTGGCAGACGACTAGAGGGCTTCGAAGGACGACGCGGGAAGGATCAGACGGAAGGCGGGGGACGGGTTGCCGAGGACCAACCCGCCAGCCAGCAGCGGAGTTCGGGATTGGAGGAGCGGGCGGCGGCGGCGGGAGGGATCGTTGAAGCTGCTTACTCGCTCGCCCGCAAGGAGGAGGGATAAGTGATGGACGAGGTTACGGCGATAGGTGATGAGGGTGTTCGGCTTGGCTTGGTGTTGAGGAAGGAAGAGGCATGGAAGCAAGTGAGTGCGTGAGTGAGTAACTAAGGTCGGTAGTCAGTCGAGATGGAAGGAAGAAGGTACACACAAACGCCTCCTCGGGGAAAAGAAAAAGAAAAAAAAGAAAAAAACAGGATCAAAAGACTCATCCCATGGAAATCCTTCCGTTAGGTCAGGCAGGCAACACACACACAGCCTGCATAGCCACCGAAAAAACACTTTTGTCAGACGAAAACCAAGTCGGATTACTATACCTTACTTACACCCCCTTACACATCCGCATCCACATCCACAAGCACCCACCCACCTCCTTCATCAACCAACCAACCAACCACCCCGTCCCGATAGATAACGACAATGACACCGCCCAATGAATGGAACCCACCCGCAGCCTCCGTTACCGCAGCAGCGCCAGCCATCAGGCGCGCCCCTTCTAAGCCGTAATGCCGTAACCTTACACGACAAGCCCTGCGCGCGCGCCCCACATGTCATCGCCAGGGCGCGCGCGCGCGCGGTCCACCCCGCCCCAGACCCAACGCCCACGCCTGACGCTGACGCAAAGCCAGGCTGACGCCACGGCCAACGGGCTCCAGCAGCCTGGGTGCGAGAGCGGGGGCCAAGGCCCAAGGGCCAAGGGCGGCGCGCGCCAGCGCTCCGGCCCGCGACGATCCTCGCGCTGGCGTGTGGAGGCGAGCTTATTGGGACGCCACCTACCATTGCCAACCACCCTCCACCCTCCAGTTGCAGTGCGTGTTGCTTGCTCCGTATGTTATGCTCTGTCCCGGTGTTTATGTTATGTCCGCGTGCGATGGAGATAGATGGAGTTAGTGCGTTGTCTCCGTGGGCGACATGGAGAGAGCCTTGTTTCCGCTTCGGGTGCTGCGGCCTGCTTGACTACTGCGGGCGGGGGAAAAGGGGGGTATTTAATGGTTGCTGCTGCTGACAGTCCTCGCTGCCATTGATCAATCAAGACCTCTCGTTTTCACGTTTCTCGCAAACTTCTACGTACCGCACCGCACCACACCGCACCAGACCTCACGAACTCACCTTCTCCACACACAAATACAAACACACACCACAACAATGGCGCCCCGTCTCTGGCTCATCACCGGCGCGTCCTCCGGGCTCGGCCTTGCCCTCGCCCTCCACGCCGCAGCGCAAGGCGACGCCGTGCTCGCGACCTCGCGCGACCCGTCCCGCCTAGCCACCCTCACCAGCGCGGCGCAGTCGCGCTCCCTCCCCGGCCGTATCACCCCCGCACAACTCGACCCGTCCGCGCCCGCGCCCGACCTCGCCAAAGCAGTCGCCGCCCTCCTTGCCGCGCACGGCACGCCCGACGTCGTCGTCAACAACGCCGCCTACGTGCAGACGGGCGTGCTGGAGGAGCTCGCGCCCGAAACCCTCGAACGCCAGTTCCGCGCCAACGTCTTCGGCCCGCTCGCCCTGTACCGGGCCGTGCTGCCCGCGCTGCGCGAACGCCGCAGCGGCACGCTGCTGTCCATCGGGAGCATGGCCGCGTGGTTCGCCATGCCCGGGTGCGGCGCGTACGACGCGTCGAAGGCGGCGCTGCGGTGGCTGACGCTGGGCTTGGGGAGCGAGGTCGCGGGGCTCGGGATTAAACACTGCCTTATTGAGCCGGGGGCGTTTCGGACGGCGCTGCTTGCGCAGGGCGGTAGCGGTAGCGGTGGCAGTGGCGGGAACGTCGCGTATACGGCGGCGGAGGAGCGGTTGCCGGACTATGCGGACGTTAACGCGAAGACGGATGCGACTTTCACGGCGCTCAATGGCACGCAGCGTGGCGATCCGGAGAAGGCGGCCAAGGTCATGTATGAGGTTGTGACGGGGACGGGCGTCGCAGAGGGGCGCGAGTTGCCGACGTTCCTGCCGCTGGGGAGCGACGCGTGCGATGCGATCAAGGGTGCGACGGCGCAGATTGGGTCGGAGGTTGAGGCGTGGCGGGGGATCGCGTCGCTGACGGACTTTTCGGAGGGCGCGTAGTCAGCAATCGGCAATCGCAATCAACCAAAAACACTTTTTCTCCGACAAACAATGCGTCATCGTCACTCCGTCACTCGACCCCACTCTGATCATCTCACGAGATGATGATGCCCGGTTTCCTTTCCAATTGATCGACGACAAGTGGTGACGGCAGTCGCCCTCGGGTAGTGGTGATAACTGTGTACGGAGTAGGTAGCACGGCAACGAGGGGAACGTTTCTGATGCATGAACAGCTGAAAAAATGAGTAGGCATTGATAGATGGTATAGCTCGCGGAAAAAAAAAACGACAAAAAAATAAAAACAGCAAATCTACGTCTTTTACTTAGCTCGTGTCGGTGCACGACCAGCTGCTCCCAGACGTGTCAATGTGCATCTGGTAGCCCGACGCGTACAGGCCGACGCCCATGATGATGAGGGCAATGGTGAGCAGCGCCGCATTGACCGAGAAGAGGCAAGCCTTTTGCCAGCTCTTGAAGTACTGGCCCTTGTTGAGGTAGAACCACATGATGGCGGGGATGCCGTACGAGAACCACGACGCGAACAGCGCGCTGACGATGCCGAGCAGGTCGCTGAAGTTGGGAATCGACTCGGCGATGATCCACGCGATGAGCCAGCTGGCAAAGCCCAGCGCGATCCACGAGCCCGTCGCGATGAAGCCGCGGCTGTGCAGGTACTCGGTGCGCGCAAACAGGCGCAGGTACACGTACTTGGCCGTGACGTGCGCGAAAATGACACCGGCGATGATAATCTGGCGGGCGTGTTAGCTTTCTCCCTCTCTCCTTCCTTCGTCGTTCTCGTCGGCGGCGACTTACAGTCGGAAGCGCAATGCCCCACGCGACCTTGCGGACAATCTCGCTGTTGCTGCTCAGCGCAGGGCTGGCAACGTCCTCGCCGGCATAGCGGTAGATGGTCACGGCCGCGATAACGTAGAGCGTAATGTCGACGGATTGGAGCGTGATGAGAGCCTTGGGGAATTCCTCGGGGTGGCGGAGCTCGCTGACAAAGCTCAACCAGGCAACGTGTCCACCGTACGCGAAGACGGCGTTGGCAATGCTGTTGAAGGCGCCGGGGAAGGTGGGGTTGTATGTGGCCTGCATATCCGCGTACGAAGCCCTGGGCGAGATACCAAGCGCGATGATGGTGATGAGGACGGCCGTCAGGATACTAAGGCACGCTGCAGCCATTTGTCAGTCCATGTCGCCCTCTAAAAGCCACCCGCCAACCACGGAAACAACTCACAGACGATGGCCAGGAACGAGACGTTCTTGAGCGTACGCGGAATGGTGAGGATGGTGAAGACGATCAAGCCGACCACGCCGAAAACAATCGTACACGTGCCGTGGTCCGTCAGGACGTTCATGGCGATGATGAAGGTGAGCAGGTGACTGGCCATGGAGAAGATGCAGTAGATGACGTAGGCAGCGCCAAACAACTCGCGGCCAAAGGGGCCCAGAAGAACCTCTCCCACATCGCCCATGTTTGCGCACTGCGACGGAACTGTTAGCGGCTGCGCTGCGCCAAGACTAGCCAATGGTGCATATGTACCTGGGGGTACTTCATCCGGAACTGCCACAGCACATAGCCCGAGTAGGTAGTGAAGAAACCGAGACCAATGATGGCAATCAGACCACCGATGAGGCCGACCTTTGCCACGACGGCGGGGAGAGAGAGAATGCCCAGGGAGACGTTTTCGGCAATCATGACTGCGAGGCCGTCAGCGAATGGGGGTCCAGCGCAGGCGCTAGGTTGTCCAATGGCGTACCAATTGCGCCCTGCCACCACTTCATCGTCTTGTACTGGACCGCGGCGCCCGACTCGTCGCCAAACACGTCCTGGGGCGCCTCCTGCGACTTGGCGGGCGACTCGACGTCGTCCATAATGACCTTTTTCTGCGCCGCGCTGGCATCGTTGAAGTCGTGTATGCCCGTCTGGTCCTTGGGGTCGGAGCCAGCCATGGTGGTGTCGTGGCGTGGTCGTTACAAAAGATAATAAACAAAAAGTCGTAGGTAGGTCGTAAGCGTCAATAGAGCAGAGGTTGAGGAAAGAGGCAAATTATTATAGTAGTGGGAACCAGACGAATTAGCAATGGCGGGGTTGAGGTGGGTGGTAGGATTACGGAGGCCCGGCAGGTAGAGTATGGAGAGCCAGAACCAAAGCGGGCTGGAAGCTGGAGAGCGCTGGGAGACGCTTTTAAACAGGCGTGGGGAGCAGCAGCAGCCGCCCGGCGCCGACGGAAATAACTGGGCTGCTCTCTACCTACTTCTTCTCACTCTCTCACACCGTTCCGATGTCACGCAGTTTTGGTGGGGACGCGCTGCCTGACCTCGGAGTGCCGGTGCTAGTCGTTTCCGGCCCGCCCTTCTAGAAACCCGTAAACGCGTTGTCATTGCAATGTGTCCGGCCCTTTTAATTTTTTTGCCTCGCCACGATAACCGTGGATGCTCTGCGGTCCGCGCGTACGAGTAGCCAGCGAAACGGTAGATTCAGGTACCAGGTACAGCTACGTAGGGCACGTAGACAGCAAGCAGACGAGCAGCGCCACCTCCAATGGATTCTGGCTGGCTTCCTGCCCGTCAATTGCATTTCTCCCACTAACACCTACACCACTACACCACCCCACGACCTGCCCAAGGAATCCATCTTCCATACTCGTACCTACCCAGCACCCCAGCAACCATCCCCCACGCCGAAATCGGCTGTCGTCCGTCTGCGTTTCCCCGCCCACCCCCCAACAAGGCGGTCACGCCCACCCGACGCGGTAAATCGCTATCGGGCCCGTCCGCCTCGCGTCTCGGGAGGCGCACAAGGGCCGGCGGCGGCGGAAGAGGGAAAAACGAAAAGAAAAAAAATTGCTGCGCCCCTGATTGGTCCGCGGGCGTTTGTGGCGCGCTGCAGGGCTGCTTGCAACGCCAACGTTCCATGCGACGCGACGCCGACGTGAGGCTTGACATCCTGGTGATCTGATCTGATCTTGACCTCGTGCTGATGCGATACGAATCCTTCGAGTGCAAGAATGCGTGCGCCAGGGCGTGATGTCGCGTGTCGCGTGCTGGCTGCTTTGCGTTTGCGGGGTGTGAGTCTGTGAGAGGGAGAGGGTGAGACCTCATACGTGTACTCTAGGTAGGGAAGTCTTCACGACCACGGGCACGGCCTTGCACTTCGCTGTCCCTCCCCCTATTCTCTCCCACCTCTCACCGTCGCATCGCCCGCCTGCCCGTCTGCCCGCCTGCCCAGACTCTCACGCGCACGCCGCAACCCCAACCGCCCGCGCCCGCACCCTCTCCAGATGTGCTCCACCATCGCATTGACACATAACGGCCAGATAACCAGCTATAAGATTCGCGATCCGAAATCTTAACCCGCCATACGCTGGGCCGTTTCGGGGCCTGTTCGCCGCGCGCGCATGGATGGCCAGTAGTAGCCGAGCGCGCTTTGACCCGACTATGTACCTATGTACCTGTAGGATGGTGGAATTGAATGCCCTGATGGGGGGGGAAAAAAGGGTTGCTGGTACCTACGTACGTGTCTCGGCTGAAACTTGACGCAGCGTGCACGCTTTGGGTCTCCCGTTTTGGGGACCCGTCTGCTTGCTTGCTTGCTTGCTCGCTTATCAACAGCACCAGCCAAGAAGCAGACAGTCCGGTTGCAGTTGTTCGGCAGCTCGACTGCGAGGACTCTGGTCATTACCATTAGTCAAGTCAAGCGGCCCGGGCGAGGGATGGAATGGACGTTTTCATGGCCGTCGCTGGCGAGACTTGCCGTTTCCGGGGCATTTCATGGAGACCGACTGCGCTTGAGAATTCGATACCCGTCCCGCCTACCTACGGCCGCTCATCTTCAATGGAGGTGGGCTTGCGGTTTTTGCTTGCTGGTAGGGCAAGGTTTGATCACATTCTTTATAGTACTTGCGTTCAACGGACTTGGCTCTTGGGGCTTATCATCATGCTTACCTACTCGTCACTCCAGCTTTTCTTCATCGACCTTCACTGGACGCGCCTCCAGGCTCAGGCGGCTATGTATAGCCACTATTGCCAACAACGCCTCAATAAGTATCTGTGGTTGCAATGTCTCTTACTGTAGTCTAAGTATCTACAACGCTTCTCCAGTTTTCGTGTTCTAGTAAGAGTTACAGTGGCATCAAGGTACGAAAGGGCAGGCTGCATTGTCTTCACGAAAAGAGTGTTGGTAAAGCATGTGCGTTGTCGCGTGCGTGCTTGCCGGCGCAGTGGCTGTAGTTTGTCAGCTTCTTGTTCGTGGTCTTGCTCTGCGATATCTCTTCTACTCTTTCACCCCCGGTGCGAGCCGGAGTTGGTTCTTCTCCTTAACAACTTTAATAAGTGATTTCTTGCCTACCATAGTCGTTGATGTTCTTGGTTTTGTCGCCTGCTGGTACTCCTAAGTTAGAAAGTTTCTCATACACTATATGAGATACTGACAGGTTTCGCAGGAATCGGAGGTACTTATCGTGGCTTGCGTACCCTCAAGCTGTCTGGCAAGATAGGGTCTTCAACTTCTACATGCATGCCTCCTCCGTGTAAGGGAGAAGATCTGAGAGTGTATATTCTCTACTAGTATCTGAATTAGATTGTTCTCTTACTCTGTACAAGCACCATTACCTCGCTAGGCGGTAGATGTCGCTTAGCAGTAAAAGGAGCTGTTGTCCCGCTTTTTAGAGAAACTTGAATCAATGTGGTACAACTTGTTGCAAGCTTATCACACCCATGCAAGACGGGAACACGCCCACTCAACATCCCCGACAGTGGAATAACCCCGCCATTTGCAGATCATACCCAATCCTACCCCTGCTGCAGGACATTGTTTCACGCCGACGTACGACTCCACCTTACCCCTCAGACCGTCTGTATATATATACATCACGTCGCATAACTACACCAGCCTTTTCGACATTCTTTCCCTTAAAAGTTTAAACATGTCCACTGAGAAGCGAACTCTGCGTATTGCCGCCGTCCAGGCTGAACCAGGCTACTTCGACCTCCAGGCATGCGTAGAAAAGACATGCCGTCTCATCGAAGAAGCGGCCGGCAAAGGCTGCGATCTGATTGCGTTCCCTGAAGTTTGGATTCCAGGCTATCCAGGCTGGATCTGGTATGGTCTGTACGTGCTTTAGGTGGTGCAGCAGCTGATTTACGAAAAGGCACCGCGCAGTCGATTTTGACATGGTGCAACAGTACATGAAGCACTCTCTGCGCCGCAACAGTCCGGAAATGGCCAAAATCGCCACCTGTGCTGGCAAGAACAAGATTGCAGTGTCATTGGGCTATTCGGAGAACGACAACAACTCGCTGTACATCGCCCAATCTTTCATCGGCAAAGATGGCACTGTGAAGATGAACAGGCGAAAGATCAAGCCGACGCATGTGGAACGAACTCTTTACGGAGACGGGAGCGGCGCATCTCTGTTCAACGTTGTCGACGAGCCCGGAGTGGCCAAAATCGGTGCATTGTCATGCTGGGAGCATTCGCAGCCGCTGCTGCGCTACCACACCTACTCCCAAGGAGAAGAAATCCACGTCGCAGCCTGGCCGCCTATGAACTTCTTCGAGTCGTATCCTCCAGGCTCGGCGCCTTACTCCATGTGTCGCGAGGGTAAGTCAGATAAGCCGTCTCCAGACACACCCCACTAAAGCTTCCTATAGGCGCAATCAACCTCTCCACCACCCACGCGATCGAAGGCGCCTGCTTCGTCATCGTCGCCTCATCAATCTTCGCCCAAAAAGGGATCGACAGCTGGAAACTCGGCGAAGGCGACTTCTACCGCTCGGGCGGCGGCGGGTATTCCTGCGTCATTGGGCCCGACGGGCGCAAGCTCACTGAAGATCTCGGAGAAAAGGAGGAGGGCCTTGTCGTTGCTGATCTCGATATGGATGAGATCCCGAAGTTCAAGGCCGTGCTGGATGTTCATGGGCATTATAGCCGGCCGGATTTGCTTTGGCTAGGCGTCGATTATCGCGAGAAGGCGCAGGTGCGTCCTGAGACGCAAGAGCTGCCGTCGAAGGTGGAGAGCTGAAGGTTTACGAGTCCTCAGATGCAGGATCTGCTCTTGAAGGTGGAGAGCTGAAGATTTGTGTGGTATTACAATTTACAGAAGGCCGTCGCCTTCAAGTCTTCCCAGACTGGACAAAGATGTCTTAAGACACTACGGTCGGAAGGGAAAAGTTTTGTTATTTATCACTACAGTAAGTCGTATTTCGTAGAAACGAAAGTTTGCCATGTCCTTTTGGATTCCTAGCCTAAAGATAATACAATCATGCTTATATAATATAATCCTGTGAGTAGCTACGAACGGTCCCTGGGGATCACTTTTCATATAGGACGAGGATTTTCATTCGCAGATAAAATTTCTCCTTCCGACCCTAATAAGAAACTATTCTATACATGGCCAGATTCAATCTACAACCACGGTCTTGAATTCAGGATGACAGTTTACCCATTTAAAAAGAAATACACGCCCTAATCCATGCGGAGTGCTAGCGAACCTTCTCTTTTGATAAGCATTACGTCCATTAAGCCTTCTTTGCCTGCAGATAAGGCGAGAAGCTCCATGATACAAACAGACGCTCCCCCAACAGGAAAAGTTGCATGAAATTCAGGGTCGTAAGAGCTCAAGTAGCCTCCATTGAATTCATATTGATCCGTATGATCAAACATATAGAGGTTGGTAGAGCGATGAGGTAAATGGTCATTCTCCAAAAATTCGAGTTTTGCATATACACATTGAGTAACCACGACCAGATGGTAGGGCTTAAGGTTATACGCAATCTCAGATACGTTTTCAAGGAATTTTGGGCGACCATTCAGATCCGTGCCCCGTAGGAAATCCCAGAGGTCGGCCCGGGACTTGCAGCTCTTCTCTGGCAACTAACGGAGAGTTCCGATAGATTTCTTAGAATTTTGTTCGTGTTTCGGTGACCCCTAGACAAGACCTGTCCGCCATATATGAGCTGCAAGATTAAGGTCGTAAAACGTCTCAGGATCGTCGGGTACTCCCAATTTCTCAACGCTTGGCTGAACTGGTATTAAGTCTCCCTTGATGGTCTCTGAGGTTGCAAACGCGAATGAAGCAAGTTTTAATCGTGGTTCCAGTTTAGTGACCTCACATCTGCCTGTGATGCTAACCCATGACCAACTCGGAAATTTTCCAATTGGAGGATTCTTCCGAGTAGTTACATTGGACCCAGTGGTTTCCTAGGCGATGTTGGCATCAAAGTTCTCAAAAGGAAGTCCGCACCTGTGGCGATTACTGTGTTTGGCGTGGGGGACCCCGGAAAAGCCTCTTAATATATCTGTCGGGATGCCGAAATTCCTGGAAGATAATCCTTTAAAGCGCTAGAAAGACTATAGCTCCGAAAGCTCGGGTGCATGCCCAGACTCCAATTGCCATCAGCCCACTGGCTTCGCGTTTTTCCGCAAGAGCAATCCGCGCACGTTCGGTGAAGTAAAGCCTCCGCTTTGATAAAAGGTGTTCCTGGTACGTCCATCCTCTAGACATCCAGGCTGATTGCTTCAAAATGCCGTTAAGGTGAGGCAAGGCTTGTACCAATTCCACATCCAAGAGGGTAAAACGGTCTTGCGTGAAAGCTCTTGGCCGACCCACACCAGTCAGCCCATGATTGGCGCATGTGCCATCCACGTCTATAATCGTGAAACTCGCTTCGTTGTAAATATAGCCCATGGCGTTGATCTGCTCCCGGTTTGATAGAGAGTCTGTGTCATCTTGCGCGATACAAAGCCGGTCTACCCAGAGATAGTCCTGTCCAAGTTCTTTGCATGCTGTAATTGCATCCGAGACGGTATCCGGGATATCATAGTAGGTGAGACTACTCGCCTCTTCAAGTGCCTTGAGGGTATTTTTTCTGGCAATTCTGGATGTTGTGTCTCCCCAAACGTAGCTCAATGCTGCATAATTACATCTGTCAATTGGGAGTGGTATAACGCAATTGTTTCGAACGTCGATGACTCTAAACCCCGAGCGGAGGGGTTGCGAAGCGGCGAGCTTACAGTTTTTGCAACTTTGAAGCCATTTCCGAATGTCTCCAAATCTACAAATAGCCCGCTCGCTTTTGTTCCTGCTTAAAGCGGCGCTTTCAGATTCGACTTCGCAACATGGTATGTCGGTCGAGGATCCGGAACGTTGAGAAATGATGAAGGAGGATATTCTAGGTATTTGAAGTCTTTATGCATGATTTTGATTGATAGCCTGGGCGATGCGTGACTACCGACTCCAATGCCGATGCTGTTGTGAGGTCCGTATATTCTGACATAAGTGACCAAAAAAAGTTTAGAGCCACCGGTAATGCTTTTTTTATCCAGTGCAATTAGTCCGCTGAGCATGCTGCACAACAAACATGATGGTCGAGAGCGTAGCTCGTCGTATGTTCCGATATCCATTGTAAACCCTTTCTGAATGCAACCAAATATGTGCTTCGAAGGCAAATGCTTACACATTTTGCACAAAGCATTTAGGGGGAGTGGCGGGCATTCATCGCATGTTTCGTGGAATATCTGCCTATGGACTAGGCTGTTCTCTGACTTTTCATAGTTGAACACAATGCGAGTGCATATTGCGCATTATTCATCTGCGGTAACTTTTAAGTCTGGAATGGTGTGATCGTCCATCACAACTATGGCTGTTGGAAAGTATTTGAAAGGTATTGGCTGTAAGTTCTTAATCAAATAAAAATAGGATGGAATGGCTGGAAAGGAGGCATGAGGGGATCCTGTTTAGATATGTATGCGACACAAGATGCACATGATGGCAAAGACGGAATCAAGTGGGGTATTACGCCTCTAGCTCGCTAATGCTTTGTTGGCAGGCAAGCATTGGGCGGATAACCATGGCTTAAGTGGCGGAACATCTTATTGGACCACAACCTGCATTACTATTTGGACACGCCAGGCTTGTAAAGGAGTGGTAGAGCGGTTAGGCTAAACTTTCATGAAATAAGCCGACAAGGCCACTAGTGTCATATTAAAGCTTTCAAAGACGACAAGGATATCTGTCAACAGGAAATTATTAGAATCTAAATAATCTACGCACGTCTTAGCCATTAATCAGATCTACCATACCTACAGAGTACTCTTGAGGCAGTTATAAATAGCCATAGTGCTACAGTTAGTAGTCGTTAGGTGATTATTTAAAGATTAATCTGAAGTATTTCACATACGAGCGTATAGATATATAAGACTGCAAAAGTTTAAAAAGACACAACTTTCTAAGAGCACGAAGCTATCTAAGTTTATTGTACAATTTCAACTCTATAAGGGTAAATAACGAATGCTATACATACAGGTGTTATCGCGCAAGATGGAAAAATATCGAGGAGCGGGCAAATAATAAATTATCCGGGGCCGATAGTTGAGAAAATCTACCGTTGATCAACGTATCAGCTTTTTACAATGCACTAGACAGAGAATTCTCTCATCACTTAAGAAGAGCTGCGCCTGGATGCTAAGCGCCAGTATAGCGTATAGGCGTATCGGAGTGGGATTCGGCGTCCGTGTATGAAATTCTGAATCGTCATTCGTTGCCTCTGGAAAGCAGATAACACAACGCTTTTGCGGTCATGACATTCTCTGCTCCACACCAGCCCCGTCCAGCGCCTATTTACACCCTGTATGTTTCCATTGTTCGCCTTTTTGGTTCGTGGTCCTCATGCCATTCGGTGCTGTCAACGTAGCCCCCACATTTCGCTACTGGCACGCTGCCTATTTAGTATACTGCGCCCCCGCGGCGACTTTTTAGCATCATTGCAAAAATAAAAACATAATGACCACGACGGAAAACAATCTTGGAAACTCTACCTACGAACCGCTCGAGGACAAGGATCTCGCATTTGGAATACCAACGAAGAAGCGGATATTTTCACTGAAAGATACAGCAGCGATTTTCATCTGCCTGTCATGCTCAGCTGTATCTCTGCTTTCCATCTACCACCAAGGAATCTCGCTCTATCTAGGCGAGGCAAATCAACTAATCATTGTCGGCTTTTTGTTGAGCATTATGGCAATCTGTACGAATCGACAAATTGCTTTGGCATCACTTTACTATGAGGCAATGCACGAGAAGCCAACTTTACAATCTTTTGATGCCCTCTTAAGAAGAAACTATATGGGAAGTAATATCAAGCTGAAGGTCAGGATCATTCTGCTATTCCTCGCGGCTTTGCCTATTGAACTCAGCATCGGATATAAGAAATTTGTCAATGGCTCAACCATATCAAGAATTGGAGGATCAAATGGGAAGTTTGGATTGATCGCTGCACCAGGAGATCAAAAAACTGGCCTGGGCTTTACATTAATCTCGGATGTCTACGGCCCTTTCTGGAAGAGCCCTGGGTTCCCAAAAACCTATGGATACAACCTTCTCACCGCATCAAATACAACTAGCGCTATTTTGGATGGACCATTTCCCGATTACGTCCAACACATTCAATCAACTATAGCGACCGAGGAGTGGGTTGCCATTACCACGGATGTTAACGCCACAGTAACCCAAAGCCATTCTTTATCGGAAGAGGAACGTAGCGACAAGACATTCTGGCAAAACACGTATACTGCATACCTGCAATATCGCTTTCCAAAAGCCTGGAACACCAAAGACATGTTGGACGGGCAAAATATTGGTCTTATGCTCAGCGAAAACATGTTTAACATGTCGCAGGCCTTTATTGGAATCTGGAACACCACTCAAAATGAGACTTTCGAATCAACTACAGAGCGCGTTTTTACATCTCGCCGCCGTTGCCGCGGCACTTGGAACATTACGAGTACATCCATCACGCTATCCTCTGCCGCGATTCTGGAAAGTGAGGAAACTGCATTACAAAGAACCAACCAGAGCTTGATCCAAAACAATCTTCTGGAGATTTCCAACCTCTTCTATCTGCTCATCGGAGAGTATAATTGGCGCTCAAATCCAAGGATATCCAACTTGAGAGTGAACATGGCTCCGGCTCTTGTCAACGCCATGATATGGGCAAGAGTAGTATCAATGGATGGGCCACTAGACAACATCAGTGCGGATCCAGAAGCAGTGCAACAAGAATGGCTTGATTCTACTTCATATACCAAAGCATCAGACGAAATTAGCACTGAGAAGAAACGGAGAACCCTAAGACGGCACCCTGTTCTTGGGGTCGTCCTAGTTGTGAATCCGTTTCTCACTGTTGTTGCCATAATTCTTAAGGTTGCATGGTATAAAGCCCCGGTTTCTGATGGATTTAATACAGTTGCTATTCTGGCTAGTTTACATGGAAAAGATGCCTCCATCCTAAGTGGTGCCGGGCTTTCAGGAGAGCTCCAAAAGCCAATCGGGATAGGCTTTAGAACAGAAAGTTGTAAAGGAGCGAGCGAGCTTGTGCGAGTCTTTTTACACGAGCCTGGGTATTCTACAAGGCTGTCACGGGGCCAGGTTTACGGATAGTAATATGTAAACTTGTCACTGGAAGGAATCCATCAGCTGGGGCCTTTACCGGACTTTAGTGTTTGAAGCCGCGTCTGGTTGTGTCTATCACAATTACTTAAGACATAAGAGTTATTGGCCACATTTGTCTTATATCAATCGAATGGAATATTCCAAAAACTTTAAAAGATAAATCTAATTTAATCAGTCGGCGTACAACTACCTCTCCTTTCTTTTACTTTCTTTACCTACACGGTTGACAGGGCCACTGACGGTTCAAACGAACAGCGATATCTTTTTCCCAGTTAACTCTCCTCAACATATTAAAACCTCATAAAATGCTTTAGGTATTTCCATAGAATAAATAGATGGTCTCCAACAAAGATGTCTTTAGGGTATAAAGTAAATCCGCGGATAATTATAAGTAATACCCAAGTAAACGATACCGCAATATAAAAACCCAACAGTCATCTTATCAAATTATATACCGTAGACTCCGAGGTCGGGCTTCAAAGGTGTGATTGATAGCTGTACTCCGTAAACTGAAAAAAACGACACGGAGAGCTGGACACACGTTTTGTTATGTATATAATCAAATTAGCAAATTGAATTAAGCACATACGACCATAGGTCGAGGAAAATTGGGCATCCCGTCCGCTCTGCCATACACAAGCCTCGAACCGGCTGATTAGTAGTTAGGTGGGTGACCACTAGCGAATCCCAGCTGCCGTATGTTTTTGCTTTTTTCTCTTCTCTTTTGCTCACGGACTGCTCCACGAAAAAGACGAATAGGACCGAAGGTGCGTCTACATAACGTGGTTGTTTAAAGGAAGCGTCGACTTTTTGTTGCGAGAAGGAAAAGCTTTTTCTTTGTCGCACACCTAGCGTCGTGCCCTGGGACTTCACAACAACCAAAATATCACAGCTAATAGGTTTGAGTATCCGCAATATCTTGAAGACTGTTCTCGCTCGAAATTATCCGATTCGCTACTCGACAACACTTATGGAGCCGAGTGCAAGATGTTAGCCGCCGACCCACTGTGACGGGACGAGCCGGGTGCGGCACAGCGCGCGCATCACGACTATATGTGGACGGCACGAGCACCTAAGGCGAGAAGGCCGCGGCGGCGGCGCCTATTCATTGTCCGTTGACCTCTTCAACCAAATAACCAAACAAATACTCGCCATGGCGGGCTACAGCACTCTAACCAGCGTCTTACTACTGGCCTCGCAGCTGCTCCTCCACTGCCGATCAGAGCTGGTCGATACGAACTACTTCCTCTTCCCCTTGAAAGCGGGCATCGTCCCTACGGTGCATAATGGGGACACGGTGAACGTGACGTGGCGGTCTGAGTTCGGCTTGACGGTGCTGTATCATGTGTGTCAGTCCGAGCAGAGTAAGTTTTATTTATCCATCCACCTATCTTATATAAAACCCTCCCCTCCCCATCACAATCCCCCGTCCTTCGCCAGTAAAGATCACGTTTGGCTGATACGCAACAGTGGCAGCCTACCCCAACCAGCCCGCCAACGGGCACGTCCAGCTCGCCGTCAACGCCTCCTGGACTGCCCCTTGCCACTGGCAGCTCGCGCAGCAAGGCGACGAGGAAACCTACTTCGACAGCGGCCAGGTCGACGTCACGAACGCGCGGGCCACGCCTGCCGTTATGTGGGTGCCTGCGGATGCGGATGCGGATGCGGGCGAGAGCTGTGCCAGGAGTGGTGCGGGCTCTGCTACTGCTTCTGCTTCTGCTTCTGCGGCAGCGAGCGCGAGCGAAAGCACGGCCGGCGTGTCTGAGGGCGGAGAGGCTGCTTGCGACAGCAGCGCTGCTGATTACGGCACTGCGCGGCGGGGGCTAGGCACGGGGCCGAGTGTCGGGGTGGGTGTTGTTAGCGGCGTGCTGGCCGGGGGGCTTGTGGGCGTGTGTGCGTTTTTGGTTCAAGGGCGGTTAGGGAGACGGCGGTGGGAACAGAGGGGGGAGAAAGTCAAGGCTGCGGGAATGCAGTGAATTGGTGGTTATTAGAGCTGGGTTGGTGTTTGTTGTTTTTTTGTATGTATGTTGAGTTGTGTGTATGTGGGAGTAATGGTGGTTGATTTTAATGGGTTTAAACCTTAGTTTTTGCGCTTGAGGGAGGGGAGAAGAGTGAAGATAGGCGCCATGGCGCTTGCGAGGCGTGATGGTATCTATTTTTGGCAGTATGATCGCCCTTGTCACACTCTTTTCCCCAGACCCACGAAAAAGTGGTCACAGGTCGCATACCCGGCGCGTAGATAAGTGGGTAGGCGAGCACATTGGTATGATCCCAAAAACCACCCTAGCTTTACTCCCAGCTCCTACGAACAGACACTCTAATACGAGTCTCATAGATTCCTTCCGCTCACCACTCCACCCTTCCCTTCCGCCGGCAATTCCACAGCCCCACCCCAGTACGAGTATCCCCCCTCACAACCCAACTCTGCCCTCCGGCCCTCTCCCCCCATCTCCGCAACCCGTCTGCCCCACCCCTGCAGCTCAGCAGGCCGTTGCGCATCATCAGGCAGTTCGCGCGCCGCCTCCCCAATACTGCCGCCCTCGGCCTCATACACCTTCGCCCCTGCTAGCACCCCGTCCATGCGCTGCCGCCTCTGCCGTCTTTGCCAATAGCTCCAGAACCCCGCCGTCAAGGCTGCGGCGACCGCCGTGCCGGCCGCGAAGCCGATGCCGACGCCTGCGCCGTCGCTGATGCTCGCGGTAAGCTTTGCTGATGCTGCGCAGGCGGTGCCGGAACCAGCGGGGGCTTGAGGCGCGTCTGTGCTGGATGCGGATGCGGATGTTGCCGTGTCATCGTCGTCATCAGTAGCAGCGGAAGTAGGCGACTGCAGCGCGCACGCGGAGGGCAGGCCAGAGGGCTGCCATGTCGTGGCGGATGAGGCAGAGGCGTCAGCAGCGCCGACCTTGACGTACCCGCTCTCGACGTAGTTGATTTTGGTTTCTTGTCTGTAGTAGCGCCAGAGGCAAGGACTAGTCCAGGAGGCGTTGACTTTAAAGGTTTGGTGGCCGCTGCCGGAGAGGGAGGGGATGGTTTGGACTGTGGTGGTAAGTATTGAGCGGTGGATGCTGTAGGTGTTGCGTTTATGATGATGATAAAAGTGGGAATAGAGTTAAGGAAATAGAGAAAGCGCATACCGATAGAGCCATTGCAGAGATGCTGGAGATAGGCTTGCTGGATGTTAACTGCAGACCACTCTACACTGAGCGTATCGCCCACGTGCACAGTGGGGATATTGTTGCTCTTGGGCGGGAAAGAAAAGTACTCAGAATTCGAGTATGACGCGCTGGAACAAGCAGAGAAGAAGAAAACAAGGATGTTCAGCCCGACGAGTAATTGGCGTAAGTATCTCATACTGGGCAACCAAGTAGCTGCGGTGCTAGACAATCGTGAAAAAGACTTGGAGTGGCCGGATTTATCGAGTTATAGAATTGTGGAGCCGAATAGACTGTGCCACGCAGGGGTGTTTAAGCGCCCGGCAACGCGGTCCCTTCGCGTGTACGTGGTGTATTTGCGGACCGCTTGCTCGCAGGGATGTCTCGCTAATATAACTGGAGGTAATCAAAGCGGGAATCTGCGCGCTGTTCGTAGCTGGGATATTTTGCGAGGCGGCTGAATTAATCGTGGCCAAATTATGATTGCACGGCATAATAGTTGTAATTGTAAATGCGTGCGATGCGGCTAATACTATTTTCATGTAAGGTTTATTAATATTAAACAAATGTTGGATCAGTTTTTGTTCAGATGATATTGCTGCTGTGTAAGTTTGAGCGTAGTAGGAGCTGCAAGGTTGGATCCAAGATCGAGACACGTAGTTGACGAGCTACAGGGGAAATTCAATGGCTAATACCTGGTACGATCAACTTACCAAAGAAAAACAGAGGTTAAGCTTATACGTCGAATGTACATAATAAATTGAATTTGAGATACTCTTCCGGTCCTTACGAAATTGATTCTATGCCTGCAACCTTCAACAAATCAGAACGCCCTGTTCATTATCTGCGAATTGCATGATACACTCCCAGCAAATTTTCTCTGATCTCGGAACAATAACTGTACGACAGTGTTTGTCTGAGCGCTGAGCACTGATAGTTGCAGCTGACAGCCTTGCAACCCAGTTCCCCCATGCTCGTACGATACATAAGGATTCAGGTTTATCGAGGAATTCATCCCAGTTATCGATCGCGATAGCGTTGAGCCGTCTGTTATGATATCCATTATCATGTTCGCAAGTTCGGTTGATGTGCCACGGTTGCTCCAAGGCGTGGTACAGTTTCTCCGAGGCCTTGATGATGTCCAAATCGGCTATCCATGCACCGCGGTCATGAACTGAGACGATTGCCTCCATGAGAAATATCTCTGCGTCTCTGGAGCCATATACTCCAGTGTCAATGGGCATTTTGTAGTCAGTGAAGGAGAGGTGAAGTGATGTGTCTGAAAACGAATCCGTCAGACACCCATCAAATTGATTGTGGTTGATAAGTCTCCAATCCGAACTGCCTACTGATTTGATCAGAGGATCAGAAGGGGATACGAGCATTGCAATGCCCGCCTTGCCAATGTTGCCCCTAATACGTTGGATGATAGGCTTTGTCTTGTCTGGAACTTCTTCCGGGTCCGAGAGGATCAACCTCGAAACAAAAAGAGAGTCGCCCGAAGACATGGCCATGACATGGTCAAGGCTTTCTGGCCTTAGGTTTACCTCGCCCGTTTCCATACTAATAAGCAATGCAAATGCTTCTTTTCTTGTAAGTTTGAATGCAGAGAATCCGCTAGGAGACGGCCTAGTGAAGGGATCATCATCCTCTTTTTCCACACAGGATTTGTGCCAATATAAGCTCGAAAGAGGACGAGAGATCCCCTTGAGAGCTACAGTAGCGTTCTCGAAATTTTTGTAAATCGAAGCAATGGTACTGAGTGACCGCATCGAGTTATGGTATTCTTCGTCCCACTCTAAACCGCTCCATTCCAAGCTCAGTCCAACCTCATTCGAGAACTGACTTTCAAGACTGATGTATCGGACCAGTTTCTGTACGTCAAGGGCATTGGTTGAAAGAGCCCATGAAATATCTTCTTTCTGAGCTTTTAAACGGGAGGGTTCCATGTTTTCCTGGATTTGAGGGCTTATAAACAGGTCGAGGCCATTCGTTCCGGACGTTATAGCGAATCGATCAGGTCCGATTGATTGAAGGCCAATTGGGGCAGTTTGGTCGATTATATATTCTTCAGTAGGATCGCTAGAGGTTCTCTCATTTCTTTTCTTCTGAACATCCTCAAAGTGCTTGGTCGCTTCCATGCGGTGGGTTGCATGTATGGGCGCTATCCACCTTTGATGGTAGCTATTGGATAGCACTGTACCTGAGTTGTTTCTTTTCTTTGTTGGTTCTAAAATCGGAATCGCAGTCAAGTATACGGGGACTGGGCCGCGTGTTTCTTCCAATTCGTATCCTTCGGCTTCTATATTGCCCCATGCCGCAGTGAACTGTTCAAGTCGAGGCGCATCGTATGAAATGTAAATATCGTTGGGCCCAGCATTTGTTTTGGAGGCAAGTCTGCTCGCAATCCGACGTAGTAGTGCAATTTTGTCCTCTCTATGTGACAAGAGAGACAGAAGAATTTCCATTTCCGTAAGCCCAAACATTGGGAGTGTGCGGCCGAGGAGGTCCTTAGCCCTTCGCTGACCTAATTTTGCAAGCCGTAGGCACATGGCACGGTCCACACCTTTTGAGTCGAGCAGTTTCTGGGAAGCTTGAGCAAGGACTTGAAGCCAGTCATTTCTTTGTGGTGATTCTCCGGCAGAACAATCCTTTGTTTGAGAAAAAGTTTCGTCTCCTAGAACATCCAAGTAGGCCGAGAATTCAACCAGAAACTGTGCGTATTCTTCCAACTTGGCAAGAGCGTCTGGCCAATTGTGTAGATATGCTCCTAACGCTACCTGTAGGAATCCCTCAAAGCTTACACGTTCAGTGTCATTGCACAAGGTACGTGTCGAGGACTTGGGGGAGCCATAATAGCGGTAATGCGCTAGGGGAAGCGACCAGATGACCCCGCCCACATGTTGTGCGGGAGAAGTTTCTAAGCCAACGGTGATGAAAACACCTTTCGGAACGAGGTTGTCATGCTGTTCAACTTTAAGGTTGCCGTGGAGCTAAACATTTTTAGTTTGAAAAAGGATTTAGATAACGGAGGCTGAGTACTTACATTCAGATCAGGATAAATATGCCAACAGGCGAGACCCAGCAGCAGAGCACCATCCTCGACTGCTTGCGGCATGCCACACAGAACATTCTCCATCAAGCGCAGTGCATTTTTCCATACATGCAAAACACTTTTGTAAGTACCAGTTTTGTGGCTAGAGATAGGGACTGTGAGGTTCTCGACAATGAGCGTTAGCTGCTTCTGTTGGAGAGATTTCGCTTCGTCCGCTGCTCGAAGCCAAGCCCTGGCGCTGTTGTCCCATTCTGCCAGATGGTCGCGGGATATGTCTATATGCGCTGCTGTCAATGTCGACAGATGAAGAGGTTCTGATGAATTTAGGTCCCCAAGCTCTTTCTTCCTTTCCTGAACAAGCTCCACCCATATTGAAGTTGCTTCAGAGGTAGTCCACAACCTAGCTAATATGCATGCGAGAAGGTGGACGGCAATAGAAGTGCTACCCGAGGTGGCAGCCGCCCAAATGCTCGTACCGTCGATACCGACATAATCAGCAAAAATTCCTTTTGCAGCCGTAGCTTCTGACCCAAAACGTGGGTCCTTGGCAACTTCGGATACTCTGTTGCCATAAGCTTGTATAAGCTTCGGCGTCGACGGAAGGCAGGAGTCGAAAAGAGCGCCCAACTTCCGTGCCGTCACGTGGCTCGCCCCGGTTTCAGCTACTGCTTTGCGGCGTTGCGTCAGTGCAGCGCCCAATCCATGAAATTCTGCAGGAGCTTCCAACTAGGTTCCATCAGCAAAGTAATAAAATTTGGGGAGTCCGGATTACCTTGACGAGAGAGAAATCAAAGTTGATGTTGGCAAGTGCGAGGGTCGCCTCTTGGCTTCCATGCACCAACGCATTAACGAGTTTGCCTATAGAAGCCATAAGATCAAAAGAGCAATCGTGTTGCAACAAAATGAAAGATCGGTTGTGGTCGGTAAAAGGTTGTCAGCAATCTTGAATCGACAGGTTACAGGAACTACTAGGCAAGAGGGATAACGAGCCATATATATACAGCGGGTACGGCTGGGGATTCAGCCTTGCCAGCGTGGACGTGGTCGAATCGGATATGCCGTGTGGCTGCGTTGTACAAGGGTGGTGGGCGAGCGTGGGTGCCTATAATGACGAATCAGCCCATGCCACCCGCGACGATACCTAATCAACCATCACACCTTACATCCTCTCACCAAGCATCCTCCTACCACGCATCCTCCCTAAACCCCCTCTCCTCCCTCTCCTCCGCCTTCCTCCTCCTCTCGCCCCACCCCGTCTCCCCCGCCCCAGCCTTCTCATCCACCCTCGCATCGCCCGTCCTCGCTCTCCTCGCCAAAACGCGCCACCCGACCCTCCCAAGCCCCCACAACAAGCCGACGGCGCCACCGCCCAGGATCCCCGTCGGCGCAACCACAAACGCCGCCCCGCTGACCACGCTGCCGATGGCCGTGCCCGCCACCGCGGCCGTCGCGGCGCCCACGAGCGCGTATTTCGCGTATCGCAGCAGCCGCCAGAAGACGAAGATGGCGGTGTAGCGGAGGCTGCGGAGGAGGGCGCGCGTGCGGCGGCGCGAGGGGCCCGCGTTGCTGGAGGGGTCGATGAGGTAGGCGAGGTTTGTGCGGGCGGCGCGGAGCGCGGTGGGCGTGGGGTGCTGTTTGGGTGTAGTAGTTGTGGCGCCTGTGGCTGGGGCGGTGTCGGTGGGTGCGGCGGGGGTTGCCATTGTTGGGTTTGTGGAGGGAGTGCTTGTGGTGGTGGAGGGTGAGGGTTTGGTCTTGAATTTTTTGTTGTTTTGGCTTCCGCCGCCGATGATGTCATTAGGGACTTTTAGGTCCCTGGTGGCGGGTGCTAGTGACTACTTTTCCTTCCGCCCGCTTATTTGATATCTACGAGTACACACTCAGGAATAGCAAGACCACCATTCAATCATTATAAAAACCAAAACGAAGATAGCTTTGATTCCCCTAGTCTGTTCATTATTCGGGGTTAACGGACTTAATGAAATGAGATCTCATCTTCTTCTAGGTCTATACATATACCATATGGGGCGGTTTCGACGGCGCAGATAGTGGACTGGATGTATGCGGAACCTTTGCCCTCTATGCTACGAAAGAATGATGCGCCATCGTGCCGTGCGGTGCCTGATCTTCTCGCCAAAGACGTACAGCGGGACTCCCAGCACCACGACCACGGCGACGTAGATGCCCGCCTGCGTGCCGAAGCAGGCTGTATACCCCACCCGGCCGACCCACGGCACGATAGCATACAGAAACCCGAACGCGACGATGTTCTTCAGCCCTGTGCTTCAGTGTTAGCATTTTTATACAATGTATTAACAGCTCGCGTATGCTGGAGAGACCAAGCACACGTCCACATACCGTTGATAAGAAGCAGCGCGTCGGGGCTGACAGGGAAATAACTGTCGCTGACATAGACGAACGTCATGATGGGCACGGCAGTCAGCCCCACGGCCACCAAGCCGTACGCGACGAACAGGAGGGCCCAATGCCAGCCGCGCTCGGCTGCGTATCCGAACAGCACGCAGCCAGCAGGCACGCACACGCAGGGCACGACGAGCAGCGGCAGCCTTGTCTCGGGCCTGAACACGCCGCGGGCCCGGCGCGCGCGCCAGTCGCTGTACCGGTCGACGAGCCAGCCGCCCGTCAGCGAGCCGAACAGGTTGCCCAGCAGGCCGGCGATGTTGAGCAAGCCGAGCAGCGCGGGCGAGAAGGAGTAGGGTGGCGCGGAGAGGATGAAGGGCGCCAGCATGTTGACTGCGACCGTCCAGGCGAGGACGACAGCGTAGGCCAGGAAGGAGTACGTCACGGCAGGGTAGAGGATTAGCAGGAAGGGGCGAAGGAACATTTTGAGGAGGTCGGTCGAGCGTTGGATGTTGGGGAGAAGGGTGAGTTGCTGCAGGTATGTCTTCTTGGGGACCGAGAAGCGCGTGGCGGTGTTGAATCGTGTGGGTGAGGAGGCCTTTGGCTGCGCGGTGACGTGCGCGGTTATCTCTTCAGTTGCTGCAGGACTGCCCGAGACGGAAGACCCGGGAGTGATGTCTTTGCTGGCACCGGAGGAGTTGGGCTCCTCGCGAGCAAAGGTCGTCTCGGGGACAAAGAACAGGACGAGGAGGAAGTTGATGCCCGTAACTATCGCAGCAATGCCTTTGTGCCATCGCCATCCGATCGTAGCTGTGACGAAACCGCAAATAAGTGGCCCGATCGTGTTGCCTCCGGATATGCTGGCCATGTAGATTCCCATTTTCGAGCCGCGTTCGTGCAGGAAATAGATGTCGTTTACCATTCCTGCGACAAGAGTTTCTGTCGTTGCTCCAGCAAAAGCGGCGACAATGTTGCACCAGAGCAGGCTCTTGAAGCTTTTCGCAACGGCACCCCATATGCACGTTAGGAACAGCAGCAGGGAGGAGAAGACGAAGACGGGGCGCTTGCCAAAGTAGTTCGCGAGCGGTACCCAGAAGAAGTTCTGCGCTCATGTATCAGTGGAGATCGGTACTTTGTACTGCAGGCACTGACCATGAGCCCGAGCACGAGGACGGGCCACAGTAGCAGATCGCTTGTCTCGTCTTCTGACTTGTCGAATTCCTTGCTGAGCACTGCAAAAGCAGGCGCCAAACCTCCGATCCTGTAGGTAGCGGATTAGTATTGAGAACTATAAAACACTCCGCAATTTCTTACGAATAGTTAGTCATGAACGTGAATAAACATGAGGCAAAGAAGCAGACGTGCTTCTTCCATAGTGGCCACAGTAAAGGGTCATTTGGGTCTGTTTCGGATGGATGAGGTATGAGCAATAGGGTGGATTCGTCAGGTTTGGTCGTCAAACTAGGAGCTAGAAGTGGAGTTAGGTATTGTATCTGTTCATATAACCTGGAAAGTTGCCATACGTTTTCGCAGCTGTACTGTGCCCTCTGTCTGGTCTAGTTCGTGAAGTGTTTGAAGATGCATGATGTCTCGTGACAGCCGAATATGAAGGTATGGATCTATTTTCTGGTGTCAAAATCCGAAGGATTGCTCTTATCATGTGTTGAATCCTCAAGGTCTGAAGTTTTTCTCCATTAATAATTTTCGAAGCAGGCGCCAGCGGTCTTATGAGTGACAGGTGACGGTCTGCTCCAGCTCTTGTTCAACGCCCTCCCTAGTGTCGAACCAGATGATTGGATGGCATTGGATCTAGGGGGATTTTGCTGCAGCCCCGACGCCCTGTACAACCGGTAGCAGTTACATCGGCTCCTCATGCCCGAAAATCGATCTTTGTCACGATCTGCAGATGTCGTCTCAAGACTTTACCCGGAAAATAAAAAGTGGTTGCATTGTGCCGGATCCACTGTAACACTCCAGAGGCCAAAGCGTGATGGAAACTGTACTGTGGTATCCAGGAGAGGCATTCCAGTCGCGACTGCAGCCTTACGGTTCCTTGCGAGAGAGGACCAAGGCTGTGACGTCGCTAGAGGAAGGTGGATTAGTGACCAGTTGCTATAGCTGTCGTGCAAATACAGTTATCGTAGTCTAATCTGCTCTCGTCTGAGCAGCTTAGCGCTGACATGGGAGTTGTTTTTCCCGTCTCGGATGTCCGGTGCACAGCATGCGCATGCGGGATCCCGGCAGCAGAGATTCCAGGTGAATTTATGTATGTAGATAAGCTCATCGAACGCCGAGATTTCAGGCCCAGGCAATGGTTTGCTCCAGGGAATGTTGATTGTTGGTGAGTCGAGATAAAGATGGACTGTTCGGTGGTCGTCCAGCGCCCTGTCCTCCCAAATGGGGCTAGCGGCGGGGTAGATCTGAGCGATCCCTGGGCACGTCAAGGCTGGCGCAAGCCTCCCACTCTCCGACCGTCCTTGACACTGCAACGACCTTTCACCCTCGATCAAGCACAACGACACTCACGCCTGCGCACGCTTGGCGCGCACACCAAAATCCGATCAGTCATTCGCCTGGGCCTTGTGGCTCAGGCGCGTCGCATACACTAGCTCGCCCCGCAGCAAGCAGCTTCACTTCCGGTCGCATACCTAGTCTCGCACGCGACTGCTCAACATGTCGCCTCCACGCCGTCGCCGCGAGCAAGAGGAGTACGGCGGTCGTCGCCGCGGCTCATCCTCCTCGCACAGCTCCATGGGTACCTGCATGACATGATGGCGAGTAACGAAACGGTCAAAGTGCTGGTTTTGCTAATGACCTTTCGTGTTTCAAGATTACCACCAGTCGTCGTGGGACCGCAAATCCACTCGCAGCCCATCACCTTACCAGCGTGGCCTTCCTTACAATGATGATGATGTCCCGCGTTACCAGTCTCGCAATGACGCAGCGCGGAAGTATGGCAACGCAGCGAACGGCGATATCGAAAAGAACGAAACGCCGTCTCACATGCTCGTGGTTCAGTCCCTTAAGCCAACGACCGATGAAGAGCTCTTCGCCAAGGGGATCATGAAGCTCTACAAATCTGAGGAGGAGGAAGCCGCCGACAAGGCACGCCAATCCTCCACAGGCTTGAAGTCCACATCGACCCCAAGGAACTTCGGCGCCAGGAAAGACAGTCTGAAGCGCGTCTTCCTGATCCGCGCCAAGGACAGCGGAGAGAGCTGTGGCTATGGCTTGGCAGAGTTCCACACGATCGAGGTACGTTAATCACATTGCACCAGTTAGTACAGGTGCTAATGCTCAGCAGGATGCCAAAGCCGCCTATGCCAAATACAGCGCAATGAAGAACTTCACCATCGGCTCGAAAGACGCCTTTGTTTCCTACGCTCATCTTGGTGTTTTCATTCCTGCTTTCGAGGACGGCGACCCGGCCTTCACTTTCCAGGCAACAGCCGATCAAACTATGCGCCTTCAGTATCGCGACCCTCGTCTGTTCGGGCGCGAGCACACGGTTACACACAACCCTCCGGAAGTGGCTGAATCATCAACGCCACAGCAAAAAGAAGATCAACAGGGCAAGGCTAAGGCCGAGCAGGATGCCAAAGCTAAGAACAAGAAAAGAAAGGCAGAGGAAGGAGTGAGTGTGTCAAACAAGAAGCCTGTGAGTTTTGCACATGATCTCTTGTCTATACGAGTCTAACCTGATGCAGACCATCATCATGGCCGACAAGTTCAGCCAATGGAACCAACGGGAGAAGGAACAACGCAAAGACGTTCAAAACCCCCCACCTGTCACCCGTCCCAAGCCTTCTATGTCGGCGGACGGCTTGGTCGACTTTGCCGGGTTGAAGTGCTATGTTTGCCTCAGGAACTTCAAAACCCTGGATCTGCTCAACGTACACATCGACGGCTCCGACTTGCACGCCAACAGATTGAAAGACGAATCCGCCATAGTTAAGGGCTGGGAAAGGCTCAAGAAGGACAAGCCTGACACTGTCATTCCGAAGCCTGGCTCTGAACAGCATCCAGCGCCGCCTCAGCGGCGCCAAAACGTGGCCAACAACCCGGACGTTCTGGCTCAGAACGGCCAATCGAAGCCGTTGAATGCGGAGAAACCGAAACCATCTGCCAACGACGGACCGAAGCAGCCCGTCGACAAGGAACCGAAGTTGTCGAAAGGCGAGAAGTTAATGGCTAAGATTGGCTTCAAGGGCGGTAGTCTGGGGGCCAGCGGGGAAGGCATCACGGCAGCAATTCAGCCGCAGATGTACCGCCCCGGAGTTGGGTTGGGGGCCGAGGGCGGCAAATTGGGAGATGCACTCGAGGTTGCTGAGAAGAGCTACGTCGAAAAGGGACGGGACTCGGCGAGGGAGCGCTTCGAGCAGTTGAGCCGGGATCGGAATTGAGAGGTGGAATGGCAATGGTGGGAATGGGAGAAATGATTGAATACCAAAGGATGGATGGACATGGCATGTGGATTAGATGGCGGCGGGGGACATTGCTTTCGTCACCCCCGCCCGAGAATGGAAAGCTTCTGCCTTTTTTTGTCATGGACAATATATGGAAAAGGCTTAAGCAAAAGCAAAAAGAATAAAAGGCAGACATGGTTTGCACCGAAACATCGGGCCGAGACGCCTTGTCAGGCGATAGTTCCGAGCAGGGCGGTTCTCGCAATTTCGTGCATGGAATCCTTGGGGCGACGAGCCACGTGCAAAAAGCGGACTGCGGATTGCGGATTGCGGATTGCGGATACCTAGTACAATATGTACAAGGCGCTAAAGGGCGATCGCAAGCACAGCAGACGGTGACGAATGGCGGCAAGGCGTCGAAGCGGGGTTCGTGACAGGCGGAGGGTCCAGCGACAGGGTCCAGCGGGGACGACCGATGACAACGGCCGCCGCACGTTTGCCGGCGCGCCCAACGCTCTCAGTGTTTCAGGACGACGGCGGTTGTACTGGGTGGCCCTGGTAAGATGAGCAGCCATGATTCGCCCTCGCGCCCGTCTGGTGCTGCCTTGAATTGAAGAGGATTTGCGCGGCTGCGTGCTGGCCGCCTTCAGGGGGCATCTCTCGACCTTTTACGTTGCGTCTCCCCTCAGCCAGACACCACGCACCCTCCCCTCAGATCGTCACCCGCTGGCCGGCCTTGGAAGTTTGGGAACAGCAGTGCACGTCCTGAAACCAGTCACACCCGCGGAGCTGGATTTCGTGGTGATTGCGTAACATCACGTAGTAGTTGCCGCCGCAACCAACGTACCTAGGTATCGAGGAAAGAACGGCGCCATCATGGCCACCAATTCCTCCTCGTCCGTCGTGCCCGCCGCCGCTCGCTCGTCGACCGACACCAACAACAACGCCGCCAACCAAGTCACCTCGCCGGTCGAGCCGTCGTCGCGCCGCACGAGCTTCAGCTTCCTGCGGCGAACAAAGTCGAACAGCGGCACCCATCGCAGCGTGTCTGGCGGCAGGATGGGCAGGAAAGAGAAGGCGCGACGCGAGGAGGAGCTCCTGCGCCAGCAGCGCGAGGCAGCCATGCTGCCCAAGCAACCGCCGCGCCTGCCGAACCCTCCGGCCCTCCCAACCATCAACACCTTTGGCGGTGAAAACGCTCCCGCTCCCGCTCCACCAGCTCCCGCCCTTCGCCCCGACTCGTACGCCTACGTCTCTCAGCACGCAGACGTCACCAGCCCAACCATGGAGTACCGCAGCCCTCAGTCGTTCACCTCGCCTCACGCCGCCGCGCTCCCGCCCATCACCTCACCCACTGACGAGCTTGGACCTTACGCGCAAGCCGAGAGCATGACGCACCGCGGTCGCTACAGCTACGCCAGCCCCGGCGTCGGTGCTGTGAGCTCTGCCCGTAGAGTCCGCAGAAGGAAGGACCCTACTCCCTTCAAGTGAGTCGCCAGCGCGCCTCCACTGCCACTGAGAGCTTCACTGATCTCGCATGCAGCATCCTCGTCATCGGTGCCAGAAACAGTGGCAAGACTTCCTTCATTGAGTTCCTCCGCACCTCTCTAGCCTTGCCCGAAAAGAAGCGCGCCCACACTCCGCCCGCTCCGCAGCAGGCTAACAGCCCGGACTCGCCCTTCACTTCTCAGTACGTCGAGACGGAGTTTGACAATGAACGGATCGGAGTGACGGTTTGGGACTCTGAGGGCCTGGAGAAGAATGTCGTCGATCTGCAGTTGCGGGAAATGGCTTCGTTCCTTGAGTCAAAGTTCGAGGAAACCTTCACCGAGGAGCAGAAGGTTGTGCGTACGGCTGGCGTGCTCGACACGCACGTCCACTGCGTCTTCTTGTTGCTCGACCCTTCGCGCCTAGACGGAAACATCACCGCATCTCGTAGGGCAGCCAACGACAAGCTCGCTCCGCCGATCCGGGTGCTCGGTTGCCTTGACGATGAGTTCGACCTGCAGATCCTGCGCATGCTCCAAAACAAGACGACCGTCATTCCGGTCATTAGCAAGGCTGACACCATCACCACGTCACACATGGGATTCTTGAAGCGCAGCGTGTGGGACGGCTTGAAGCAGTCCAAGCTTGATCTTCTGGAAGTCTTGGGCCTCGACTCCGACGTGGAATCCCTGGACGAGCGCGACGAGGATGCGTACAACCACTCTTCGTCTGACAACGAGCACGACAACTTGGATGCCATGATGGCGGCCCGCTCCGACTCCAACACCTCGCGCCCTGACTCCACGACCTCGGCGTCTTCGCCATCTCCCAACAACAACAACGGGGCCAAGCACCGCAACCGCGTCTCGGCCATGTCGGCACAGCTGACATCCAGCACTGACGAGCTGCCGTACATACCGCTCAGCATCATCAGTCCGGACATGTACGATCCAGGCGTCGTTGGCCGACGCTTTCCGTGGGGCTTTGCGGACCCGCTCAACACTGAGCACTGCGACTTCCCGCGCCTCAAAGAGAGTGTCTTCAGCGAGTGGCGCGCAGAGCTGCGCGAGGCGAGCCGCGAGCGCTGGTATGAAGGATGGCGGACCGAGCGACTCAAGAGGCGCGGCGTCAGCACCATCGGGCCCAAGAGAGCGGCGACGTCGACGTTTTGATCGGTGGTGGCATTCACGGCGTATTGAAATGTCGTTCACATGCCGCATAGGCATTCGACCGCACCGACACCGAACCGACACCGACGCTCTACCTTCGCCAGCACACACCCATACACAACACATACCCATACCCTTTTCTTTGCTGTTTTTTCTCTTTCCTTTTTCGTCCCAATGTACTTACGCTGTATACCACTCCCCCTTCCCAGCAGCAGCACCGTATCAGCAAAAACAAAAAGCCAAAAGTAGCACACGATGTCGCGACAGCCCAAATCGACGGGAACCTTTTTTTGACTACCTCTTTTCTTACTTTCTTGCCTTGACTGCTCGTCTGCTTTTCTACCCACCATTCTGCTTACGACGCTGCGATGACGTCTTGTTGCGGAGCTTAGCTCGGCTGGGCTTGATGCTATAGGACGCACGCAGATCGCATCGGATAGGCGGCTTGACAGCTTCATGGCTTTTTCTATACAGGAGGCTTTACCTCGGCTTTTTCTCTTTGCGGTGCAGTTGATATCCCTCGCGCAGGCACTCTGGGTATCAAGGCATGCGTGGCATGCTTGCTGGTTGCCTGTCGTTTATAGTCGGACATGGACGCATGCACTGAATACTGATTGATTGATTGATGGACGGACGGATGGACGGAGCTAAGCACAGCCAGCACAGCACAGCGGCTGCTGTTGCTTGCTGCTGGCTGGCTGGCTAGCTGTCTTTTGTGCACGGGCTTGCACGCGATACTAGGTACCTGCTTCTTTATACTTCTTTCTTTTCTACTTCTTTTCTTCTTCTCTTCTTTTTGTTCTTTTCGTAGTGGCGACAAGAGCTGGACTTGGTCGGTTGATGGGGGAGAAGGGGGGCTTTTGTGATAAGGTATGGACTTTTTTTTATTTTCGGCGACAAGGCAGTACGAGACATAAAAATGGAAATTAGGACTTAGGCGCTACGTTACGTTCACGGTACCCGTTCACGCGTGCCTACCCAAACGCAAACACAAACACAAACAACAACGACACAGAAACACACACACCACACCACGACACTAATTCTCCCCCTCAGGCACCGGCCACCGCTCGCGCCACGCCCGCCCAAATCGCTGCGTCACGACGACCGCACACCCCACCGCAGCAATGACAGCGCCCTGGCACCCGAACGCCACGCCCGGCCCGGCGCGCGCCACCCAGCCAAGCTGGAAATAAACGACGCTAAAGCCGCCAACCACGCGCCACGCGTTCAGCCACGCGGCCGCGGGCGCCGCGTGCAGGGGGAAGGTGTCGAGGACGTACGCCGAGATGGGCGTTGTGGTGGCGAGCGTCGCGAAGGTGACCATGCCCCAGGCTACGGCGAGAGCGGCCCAGTGGTGGTGCTGCTGGAGCGTTTGCCCGAAGAGGACGAGGCCGGCCACGCCGAGTGTTAGGGGGGGGTAGACGGCTGTGAGGCGGGCTTCGGGGACGGGGAGGGTGGTGGGGGCGTGCTGGGTGTGGTTGTGCTTGTGGAGGTGCCGCCGGAGGATCAAGTCGTTGGCGTAGTGGCCGTAGGCTTCGGCTAAGAGGGTGCCGACTATGGGCGCGAGGTAGAGGAGCGCGAAGCCCAGGTACGAGAAGGCGTAGCCTGTTCCGGCTGGGGGAGGGGGTGGCAAAGTGAAGAGCGGGATTGTGGACACGAGGCCGATCGTCCACATTGTGAGGGGCGTGAGGAAGAGCGCGGCTGTTTGGTTGGGGAGGGGCGTTAGCGGGGGGTTTTTTTTTGGGGGGGGGTGGGGGTTGGGGTTGTAGGTAGTTTGTGGGGAGCAGGCTTACAAGGTAGTAAGAGATAGGGCCGCGCCAGCAGAGCGAGCTGGTGCCTGAGGACTGTGCGGATCTTGGGGCGGCCTTTAGCGCGCAAGCCGGCGAGGCCGACGAGGAGGGCGAGCCGCGTCGTCTTGCGCTTGCTTTTGCTTTGGTGCAGCCCTAGCGCGCCGCCGCGGTCGAACAGCGTCTCGTCGCCCAGCAGCAGCACGGCCAGCACGCTGAAGGCGTAGAAGCCGGCCAGGACGGCGAAGTCGGGCCGCCAGGCGAGTTTGAGCAGGATTAGGCTGGAGATGAAGGGCCCGATGTAGGGGCCGATGAGAAAGGAGGCGGCCCAGATCTGTGGGGGGGAGGAGTAGTGGTGTTAGTGTGTGTGTGTGTGTAAGGGTGGGTGGGTGGGTTGAATGGGCTGAGGGTGTTATGGGGTAGGTAAGGTGGAAGGGGTTTGGAAGGGGTTGGGAGAGGGGGGGCATACGTTGATCTTGCGCGCCCGCTCGTGGAAGAAAAACATGTCGTGGATGACGGACAGGCCGATGACCTGCGGCGCCGCGCCGAAGAAACCCTGCAGAGCGCGGCAGGCGGTGAAGCCGCCGTAGGTGGGGGCCAGCGTGGCGCCGATTATGACGGCGAGGGAGAGCAGCTGGCTCCAGAAGAGGACGGGGAGGCTTTAAAGACGCGGCGAGTGGTTAGTTGTGATAGCTTGGCTGGTTTGTGCAGAGAGAGGGAGAGAGGGAGAGAGTTGCGCACATACCGTCCGTATCGCTGGCACAGGGGCACGGCGAGGATGCCCCCGGGGGCCTGCATGAAGATGCCAGGGCTCAGGGAGTTGGAGACGGCTTGGACGGCCATGTCCCTAGGCAGCCATCATCAGTAACAAGCTGATATGTGAAGGCCAGGGACACATTGGTCTCACCAGTCCTGAGCCTGCAGCTCAAAGACAGTCGAGCCCCACGTCAGGGCCCAGTCGCTGAGCAGGCATCCCGGAATCAGAGCCAGCAGTACTGCGTGCTTCTTGGCCCAAGACCAATTAAGAGGGTCTTGCGGATCAGCTGAAGGCTGCGGGACGAGAGGCGTCGTGCCGTCAGGCGCAAGACGGACTCCGGCCGAGAGTTGGGAGCCCTGTTCCGAGTCGGGCGAGTGAGTGTGGTCCACGATGACATTGAGGCTTTTCTCTGTCGGCGTTGTCGTCTTTGGCGTAGTCTTCGGTGGCGTCTTCGGTATTATTGTCTTCGGTGTCTTCTTCGTCTTCCTCACTGGCGCGACGCTTGGCTGTTCCGTATCTGAAAAGTCCTCGTAGGAGAACTCGGGATCCGCCATGAAGGAAGAGCCACTTTATAGTGTAAAGGATTATGCTCTGCTGCGGGAGATAGGCAGGGTCTGGTGACCGACGGTACGATTGCGGGAAGGAGAAACGGCACGGCTAGTGCTGGCAATCGACTCCATATGAGGACATGGGGCATCCCGTGCTCGACGGACTTCGGGAATCCAAACTTTGGTTCTCTGCCAGCCATGAGCCACAGAACGGAAGGGACGTCGGACTCGATCTGCATACGGCTACGTTATCCTGCCCCGATTGAGCGTCTAAAGGCAAGCAGACGGCTTGGCGGCGGGAGGTTCCTGCAGCCGTGTCCCAGATCTTGACAGGCTGGTGTCTGTAATGCCATTGTGAGACGCGGGATAGTACGTCGGCTTGCGGCAGGTGCATGAGATATCAACTCGATGTTGAAAGTCTTGCTCACATAAGCTGCACGAGCATCAGTTGTGTGTCTATGTGGTGCTAAATTTGAGGTCGTCTGTTCATTTTAGCCCCGGTCCGTGTAATTCGGCATGGTGAAGAAAGAAGTCGGACAACATCCTCGGACACAACCACCACAGCCAGAGTTCCCGTCATGTTGGCGTGATGTTTGGCAAGGAGAGGATCGCTTGCGGAGGCGGGATTGCTGTCGGCAAAGTGGGGCCGCGCATCCGTCCCACCCTGACTCGTTCTCCGGACGCAACTCTATCGCCAACCTTTGTTTCTCTCGGCTGCCCTCCAGTCGCACACGAAATGTTAGGTTGCTGTCTCGGAGAGACTTTGATCCGACAAGACGGGCCTTGGTGCTACCAGCTACTAGCTAAACGCTAAGACGCACACTTCACCAATCACCAGAGCCATATCGGATATCCTTGATGAACCTCGACACCAAATGCACCTTGGCCGAAATCGAAAGCCGTGCCACCGACAGTCTCGTGCACCAGATCCTTGCAATCCAGGACAACTACAAGCTCAAAGAGTTCAAGACGAACGGCCGGCGCGAATGGGCTGAGCGCCTCGAGTGCCTGTGCCGGAAACTGCCTCACGAGCAGGGAAGCCGGAAGAGGAAATGGAGACAGGAAGACGAAGACGCCGAGGGTGCCCCATTGGCTGGCCCGCTGAGAACTCTGGGGCGCAGGAGACGGTGCCCCTCGGAGAGCTATGTCGCCGTGTCGTATCCTTGGGACGCCTCGGCCTGCGAGAGCCCTGAAAGTGGCCGGTGGCAGGTATGGTCTGAAAGAGCTGGGAACTTCTATCCGAATCAAGTCAGGGATGTTGTCCTCGAGCGCGCGACGGCGTATGCGAAGGCGCTTGGTCTGGACCTGATATGGATCGATAGAGAGTGCATCCCGCAAGACGAGCGCGACGGCCAAGAAAAATCAGAGAAAGAGTACGCGATACAGTGTATGGATATGGTCTACAGACTCTACCAGTATTCGTACCCTGTCGCTTTGCTTGTTGTGTCGATTAACACAGAAGACGACCTGGTGCTTCTTGGTCGCCTACTCCAAAACCGATTTGCCTGGGAAAGAAAAGGAAAAGAATACCCCATCCTCGCAGACGAAGTAGCCGAAAATCCGGAAAAGACGCTTAAGATCCTAGAGCTGCTCCAGCGCATCACGTTTGACCCATGGTGGTCGCGAGCCTGGATCTTCCAGGAAGACTACTGCGCCGGCACAGAGATGCACCTTCTGCTCCCCCACGGCCGCTCAGTCAACAAAGACATGTTCGACCTCTTCGGCAACATTCCAGGAGAGCTCGAGGTAAACTCTGCCAAATTCCGCAGGGCAGCAACACTATTCTGCCTCGCGTACAAGCACGCGCCAGCGCACGCAAAGGAAAACGTCGGCGTCGCCATGTGCAACGACGTCCTCAGCAAAGCCAGCCAGTACAACATCGTGCACAAGTACACCACAGCCGCCCGCGACCAGCGCAAATGGAAAGCCATGACGTCGACGATCCTCGCCGACATTGGCCGCCGCGGCATCACGAACGCGTCGGACCTGCTGGCCATCACCGCCAACTGCTGCACCTACAATGCGCGCCTGGACACGAAGGCGCTCAAGGACGCCGGCGCCAGCCTGTCCGCCAGTATCTTGGCGCTGTATTTCCTGAACGGCGAGATCTTCTGCGACGGCCCTGAAAATGCCTCCGCCTCCTCGCAAAGCGTATACGACTACCTCCGAACCATCTCCCTCGACTTCAAGCTCCCGGTCAAAAGCGAAGAGCTCACCTTCCTCAAGCGCTGCCGCCTCCCCACGCCCGAGCTCTGCGCCAGCGGCGTGCGTACCGAAGGCTGGCTCTGGCGGCTAGACAGAACAATCGACTCGTCAGAAATCCGGACGAAGAAGCTATCCCGTAAAGCCCGAAAACAAACCGCTGAAGACGGCTTGAGCCGCGACGAGCGTTTCTGCTTGGCTCAGCTGGCTGCGCATATCCCGGGCATCAGAGACGCCGTCGTCACTTACTTTAGCGAGGACTGGGCTGCTGAGTCGCCTACCGACGACCTTGTTTGGAAGGGTTATATGGACGATACGGCGCGCGCGCTTGTTGGTGCTGTTGATGCGGGGAAGACGCTCTTGCTGGGAAAGCTCGTCTCCCCCACCACCACTACCACCACCACCACCACCACCACCAGCGACAAAGACTACGACTACGACCACGACCACGACAGCTGCTACCGCGGCGTATTCGTCCTCGACGACGACCACGACGACCACGACGACGGCGGCGGCGAGGCAGACACACCCACGTCCACGCCCGCTGCCCAGAATAAAGAACCCCGCTACGCGTTCACAGCGCACATGCAAGGCGGGCACCGCGCCAGCCCCGGCAGGGAATACGGGCTCGACAAGTTCGTCTCGCTGCAAGTCTCTCTCTCCACGGACACAGACACAGCCGCCCCAACATCAACGCCAACGCCAACGCCAACGCCGACGCTGACACCGACGCCAAGACTGCACGCCCGCCGCTGGCTCAACGGGCTCGTCTTCCCCCCTCAGGGCGAGCAAAGCGCGCAAAGCGTCATCTTCTCCTGGCCTGCTGCGCTGCGTCGCAATGCCAATGCCAACGCCGCGACTCTCCCTGCCAAGTAGAGCACAAAGCAAAGCAAAGCGCGGCAAGAATGCTGCGCTGTACGAACTGGTTGGTCATGGTCATGGTCTTAGTCTTGGGCTTGGGCTTGGGCTTGACGCTTGCCGCCCTCGCGTCGCATGGCGCATGGAAAGGCTGTGAGGTTGTGCGCACGCGTCGCCCACGCGTCGCGCGTCGTTGGGAGTGGGGTTGTGCGGCGATGTGGTGTGGTGCAAGAGTGGTGGAAGTGGGGCGTGGGTGGGTTTTCGTTTGTCTCCTGCATATATGCATGCGTGTATGTATGTATGTATGCGTGTGTGCATGCATGCATGCATGTATGCGGAGCCGTTGGATCGGCTGTGTGGGCTGTGTGGGCTGGTTCTTCATGGCGTGGCTTGCGGGCGGGTGGGTTGGTGATGTTGTGGTGGGTAGGGGTTGATGGGTTGGTGTGGTGTGGTGTTGGTGTTGCCTGTTGGAGTTTTGGAAGGGTCACTATCTAGGTGGGTTTGTGAATCTGGATCTGGATGCTGGGTTCGTTACATGGCTGGCTGATTTTTGAAGGCGTCTGAGGAAGAAGAAGAAGAAGAAGAAGAAGAAGAAGAAGAAGAAGAAGAAGAAGAGAAAGAAGACGCACGCACAACCAGCCAGCACAACCCTCAACCCCCCAACCCAACTCAGCCACTATCAGTATCTCCCTCCCACCACCCCACAAGCCAGCACCCCCGTCACCATGTCAAACACGCACGAGCACAAAACCTACACACGCGCACGCGCACGCACTCTCATCTCACCCATCCCACTTCACACACGTAATCCCGTACCCCGCACACTCACTCAGTCGGCGCAGAAACGCAAAAAAGGAAAACAAAAAAGAAAACGAAAGCAAAGCAAAAAGAAAAAAAAAATCTTCACCCTGTGCGACAGTGGAAGCAGAGCGGGACTCGCGTTGCGCTACCACTGCGGCTGTGGACCTGTGGTCCTGCGGCTCGCCATGCGTTCTCGTCTGCGAGGAGCTGCGCGCTGCATGTGTACGCGTTGTGTACTGCGTTGTGTACTGCGTTGTGTACTGCGTTATGTACTGTGTTGTGCGTTGGGCTGCGCTGCGCCGTCGATGCGGGATGCGGGAGGCGGGGTGGATCTTGGTGCGCGAATGGAGGGGAGGGGAGTGGAGTGGAGGGAAGGGAAGCGGAGGGGGTAGGGTGTTGTGTAGATGGATGGATATGTGCTTTGCGACTGGCAAGGAATTAAAAAATAAATAAATAAATAAAAAATAACTTTTTCTCGTGCATAAACAAACACCTTCGACGAGCTCTGTTGCTGCTGCTAGCTCCTATTACTGGCTGCTGGCTGTTTCCGCCACCATCAACACAACCACAACCACCAAACCCGTTCTACATGCCGGCCTATACCTCTCACCTCCGCCGTCCGCACCTCCTCCTTCTTTCCTACACTCATACTCACACACTCCCTCTCTCAAGCAAGCAAACAACCAACACGCCCACCACGCCAGGCACCCGCCGTACCTGCCCGCCTGCCTACGCGCGGAAGCGTGCAGCAAGTAAGCAGGCAGACAGGCAGACAGGGCAACTAGCCAGACAGACAACGATGACCTAGCCGCTTCCAGCGAACTGTACGTACGTACCTACGTATGTACGTACGACTTACCTGCGCCCGCGCCTATGCCTGCGTCAACGTTGGTGCGCACAGCACGGCACGGCAGAGCGGGCTCTTTTCTTCAGCTACGTCGCTGTGCCTGGCCTAGCCTAGCCTTGTGCCTTGAGTTTTGAGCCTTAAATTTCGCCTTGACTTTTGGCTTTGCCTTATGGAGGCAACGGCATGAGCGTTGCTCGTGTCTGGCTCTGCGCACGCCCGTTTGGCGTGCCCGGGTGGGTGCGTCGTGCGGGTAGGGGCGGGGAGGGGG